GTGTTTTTCATATCTTATTTCAATACATCTTTTAGTATGTTCATAATATTTTGCATCACAGTCCTTACATACAATTTTGTAAATTTTAGACTTTCACGAATTGACGACTGTGGATTTCCTAAAAGGAATTGTAGTGTATGACTAAAAACCACCTTCATACCTAGTTCCTTATCGAATATCGCAAAAACGTGTAACGGAACGATATACCTCTCGGCATAATTTATAATCTATCAATAATTATCAAAGAATTCTAACCAGAATCGGAAGGGTTGCGTCTCTCGCCTAGAGATGTCAGTAGGAGAATCAAAAGGTACGAAAATCTTCAGTTTTGAGAGTTATAAAAAACCACCAACTCTGAAAAACATGTGCCTCGATCAGGAATGTGATTACGAATTCTTTTGGTTCATTGAATATATAATGTTAGAAGCCTTAGGGTGTGTAGACCTAGATATTTTTATTAAAATATTAAGTTGTTACCTGGTTCTAGGTGAGTCTAGTCTGTTTAAATCTTGTTTATATTCTATTAACGAAAAGTTCTATTGTTCTAGCTTTGTTATATTCGAACAAAAGGAATAAACTTTGTTTTTGAATCTCTCAATTCTGGTATCTCTCTGTTGAACCCACCTACAACCTAAACCCAGCGGGACTTTGAGAAGAGCCTTCTTCTAAAGTTCCACTACAAACGTCCTCCACATGCTTCAGCCATATCCTAGGAAAATTCTTTGATGTTTCTTTGGTTTCCATTTCAAATTTCCTCACGAACATGTTAGCCAGGTAGGGGAACAACTTAGCACACCAAACATATGGATGAACAGAAAAAACAGCAGTCGCCCAGCATGTTTTGCAACAAAACCATTCCATAAACTTTGGTTCATTGAGATCAGTTAGACATGTTAACAACAGGCATCTAGGTGACTATGAGAGCTTAGAAATGAGTAAAAAAAATATGTTATTCCGTTAATCAGTTGTCGCACCCCTACGAACTACAACCTCAGAAGTCGAATCTTGTGCGAGCTAAGGATTAACGAGGTCTAACCTTTTAACGTGTGATTCCTAACATAATAATATCTATTATGAATAACGATGGTGGACCAATACCAATAGTTTACTATATAGCTTGTTGAAATCATATTTTTAGTTATCAAATTTACCTGACTAGTAGATAAGGCAACATGTTACATGAGTGCCATTTTGTTATTGGATATGTTTCTGTTGGATGGCCTGTTTTCATGAATAAATGAATGAAAAACAACCAGTGTCTCGATGAGTTAATACAAGTTGTCCCTTCGCGTATGTTCAGCACTCATTAAGCAGTAAAATGAATCGTCCAGAAATTTCAGATTCAATCCAAAAGAAGTTTGAGTACCTACCTAACAGTAGCGCGGTACATTGAAAATATTTCAAATACATTCAGTAAAAGTCATTATTTAACGTAAGAACTAATTCACAAAAGCATTTGTAATATTTCCCGATAATAAACTTGTTTCACAACTGTAAACGTATTCCGATATGTTTTTCGACGGTTAGTAAAACCAACGTTGAATTCTGGATAATATTTTTCTGACTCGATTAGGCAGCTCGCTAAATTAATAAAGTTTTTAAAATGTTTCTCTGACATCGGACAAAACGTCGCTTTATTTCTCTTGCGAAATGGAATAAAATGAGTAAATATGCATATTACGTTTGTTTCCTTTTGGACATAAATCAAACTGGAAAGTTATCTTTGTTCTTTCTATATTTGGAACAGTCGTATAACGAGTTGAAACGACAAAACCGGTCGAGGCTCAAATTTTTCACTATATTTCAATATGGAATTAATTTCCAATAATTTCAATGCCAAAAAAAGTTTTTTTACAATATTCACTAACATTTGCGTGATAAATTAAAAGCGGTACTGGTATATGTGATATCTGTTATATTTATTATAAAGAATACTTCGAATGTATGCCCCAAATTTACACAATGTCATCTCATTAACGAAATATGGAACCTATTCATCAGAGAGCCCATGAATGCTCATAAAAGCTGAAAATTTACCATCCGATGGATTCAACATGGGTAGGGAAAGATATGCTGTCATGAAGTTTGGATCATCGTGACTTAGACTATAACTATTGGGTTGTTTCGAAAGTTTTGTCAGTTTTCATGAGTCTACTATCCCAGTGAATTTTTATTCAATTTAATCAAGTTAAGCGCTATTTGAATCAGTGCACTTTTGCCAACGTAACACAGGTCGAATAATTTCGTCAGCTTAACTATTATGTACTCGGGATCCGAGGCGGATTTGCCTGGTCCTGATTGGCAATGATTCTACTCGTGAGAAAGTTATCGAAGTGCTTGAAAAGATTGTAGTCGGTTGGCGAGAGGTCTGAGTGGCATTGTGGGTAAGGCAGACCTTCCACGCTCAATTCGTTTAATTTTCGGACGGTGACTTGTGAAACGTGCGGACGGACGCTGTCGTGGAGCAAGATCGGACCTCTTCTGTTGACCGGTACCGACTAGGGCTGACACAATTTACGGTACATTTCGTCAATTTCCTCACAATGCTGGGATGGTATGGCTCGGTTGCAGAAAGTTATAGTGAATCACACCATACAGTAACCATGTTAACCATGATGAAGAAAAGAGAATTGTAACTTTCTATGTTTTTTACCACTTATATTTGTAACTACCGTTAATGGAGTTTCGTCCTATAAGGACAATTTCAAACTTATACATTAAACTAACAATGATTCATTACATTTGCCCTTATTTATCACCCCTGTAGGTACTAATAGAGGTTCTTGGCTTGATTGAGTACCTGAATTCACAGTTTACAATGCGGATGTACCAATTTGAAATCCGGTGAGTAAACTAAATCGATTTGATCATTTAACAGGTTGCACCCGCAATGTTTATGCTTGTGAATTTCCAATGATTCTAACTAATTGGGTTTGTAACCCTTCCTTGCATAGTGCAAACTTTCCGTATCGTTTAGATTCGGAAACTTGTGGTTGCATGCCAAAGAATGGTTTGAAAACGTCGAATCATTTTTTCCTAGTCTGGAGGACCTTTCATGTTCAGCATACCGTTTTTGGAAATTTCGACCACATTGTCCCACATAAACACTATTACACTCCAGACACTTGAGCTTATTAACTCCAGATTTCTCCAACTTGTCTACCTTTTCTTTGGCATTAAAAAGGAAATCAGATAACCTGGCATGTGGTCTGAATGCCACTTCCCACAATTATCTCTGTTTTTTTCCAAATATGTTAGAGTTACCCATTTCTTGATTTCTGCTTGTTTGACCTGAAGGTATATTAATCTGTAAGTGAATTTACGGCTGCGTTTTCTGACTAACTTCTGGATAGTATCTGCGTAGAAACCATTATTAAGACCAATTGGCCAAAAATCGCTCAACGACATCATATTGTAATAAAATTGAATTTATAAATCGATTAACAGCATTAATGTATAAAGTGCAAAATTTCCTATCGATCAGTTTATATCACGATACAGTAGAATTAATATTTATTGAGATGGAGCTACAAAAAGCAATCATAAGCTATAAGAGAATATTTTCTCAGTATCCGGACAGTCTCGATAGTTTCAACACCTGGCCAGGCAAAGTTTGTTTGTACACATTATAAATTCAATGGATCTAGTTGTTTCGTTAAAATATTTCAAAATGTCCTTTTATTCCAACCAGTGTAAACCACTCCCTACTCGACAATCTCCAGAAGTCGAAACTTGTGCGAAAGGATTAACGAAGTCTCGCCTTTAATGTGCTATTCCAAGCACGGATCAGACGATACTACAAAAATCGAGTCTCTCGCAGTTGGAATGAAACCAAAGTTCACATTGTTACATTCTGTGGTTGTTGTAATCTATGGACAGGTGTTGGAACTGTCAAAGCTGTCCGGCTGCTGAGGATAGATTCAGCTTTTATTTTTTAAGGTAAATACATTCACAATTTATTGAGGCTCAAGAATATTCAGCACACTCGTGTTTCTTATCTGACAAAGCTACATAGTAGCCGTAAAGGCAGAACAGTAGTTTTTTAGTATATTTTGGATGGTTTCCGGGTTTTGTCGTGGTCTTATTTTGTTATAATCTCCAAACGTTTTGACTGCACCTACGGCAGTCATCCTCAGTGGCGTGGTCGAAATACTCTTCTTGACGTGTCAAATGTCAGTTGAGGTGTCAACTGTCACCAGCCTACATTTCTATAATAGTTACTTCATATTTCATTAAGTAGTCCGTTTCTACTAGGACGTGTTCTACAATTTCAAATATCTCTGGTTGCATGAGGTGGCAGTACCGCTTGTGTTCTTATATCCTGGTGTTGATGCTGCGTTTGGTAGTTCCGATGTAAGCTGAGCCTCAGGGACAGTGAATCCTGTAAACACCGCGGGAATGTCAAAAGCTTTTTTTTGTCCTTGGCCAATCTTGGCTTGTAAATGGTTTCAATGTTGTGCCGTTCAAACAATTTTCTGATGCGGTCCGTGACTTTGTTTATGTAAGGCAAATAGACTATGCCTACCACGTATGTATCATGATCAAAGTTGGAGTATTTCTGCCTCTAGGATGTAGAACATACATTCGATTTTTTGCTTATTAGCTAGATAATTGTACTGAAAAATATTTCGTTGAAAAGTCAGGTGATAGGTATCTGTCTTGTAAAGTAATTACTGTAATTTAAACATTTCGTTAAAAATTGATCGAATGTGGAAATTAGGAAATAAATATTGGAAATACGGAAACACTCCATGGATCAGAAAACAAGAATTTTATTCCAAACTTTCACAGATATCTCGTTCATTTGTTAAATTGAAAATTGTTTTCTCATGAAATGATCTTAGAAAAAATAAACTCGAGTTTTCTTCAACAACATAAAATGTGATTTTTTGTAATTTTGAGTTTTGAAATATGTTCTATATTGACCTTTGAGAATATAATAATCTGATGTTTTGTTTTTTTCATGTACCTTCTGGACCTCAACAACGCCCCACATGCAGCAGTTCGTCTGGAACGATTTTTGTGAAGACTACATTCCCACAGAACGGAAACACACTTATTACCCTTCGGTGATAACAAACGAACGTCTCTACGAAATAAAAATCTCCGACTTACCGGTCATCCCGTATTTTCCTGTTAATTCCTACTACGAATGGGCCAACTACAGATACTACGGACTACGAAGCGCCACTGCATACATTCTAGTATTCGACCTCTCAAACATAGATACTTTTCAGTATGTTCGAACTCTAAGGGAACAAATTTGTGAATCACGAAATATGCAAAACGTTCCGTTATTAGTTGTAGGTAACAAAGAGGATCTTATTGCAACTGAAGAAGGTACCAGTAACAGTTCAAAAAATGCAATCACAAATAGTAGCGACGAAAAACGTCGTGATATTGTGAACTTAGTAAAAAAACATTGGAAGTCCGGTTATATTGAATGTAGTGCAAAATATAATTGGAAAGTAGTTGCCGTTTTTAAGGAACTGATAAATATGATTGACAACTTGAGTAGCAGGGATCAAAGTCCGATGCTAGACAATATTCAAGATGCTCTAGACAGAAATAAATGTGTTGTTATTTGATTCGTTCTGAAATTGCTGTGTTTCTTTTCTGAACGTTTAATGGTCACCGGAAAATGGTAACTTCTGCTCAATAATCCCGACTTTTATCAGTTAAAAATGTGGACACCATTGAAAAACTAAATATTGCTTATTATTTTCAGTATATCAGCAGTTATTCATTGAAGTCTTGTTGAGAACATAAATCCGTAGCTGTTCCTTTGATTCGATAATTCATCGGTCTCCTATTACTTCTTTCACTTTTTCTCTTCTTATTTTGGATATTCTTTCTGAATAACCATCATCAAACATAACCATCTCAAATATACAAATTTATTTATCTAATATGACCGATATTACAAATATCATATTTTTAAATTCCGTTTCAAGTGTTTCTTCAAAACGTCAATAATTGCTTTGTGATCGGTGTTACGTCACATGTTCCCAAACACTGGGAAACTAATAAGGTGATATAGTTTTTCTGTAATTTTTCTAATAGAAAATGTATTCTAAATTTTGCAAATATTGTGCGGTGCCAGTACAAGTACTTACTGCTATTAAAATAGCTGAGTATTTTTTATATAAGTGTATTCATTCACATAGAATTCTTCACAATTCTGAATTTGAAAGAGCAAAAGTCCCCAATTCAATTCCACTTTCTGGCATGGGAAAACTTCTTGAAATCCTTTCCAAATGAAAAATGGGTGAATTCAAAGAAATTTCAAAGAAATCGCTTAACAATGTTAAAAAAACAATGTAGTCTTTGACAGCGTCGAATTTGTGAACAAGTGACGTCGTGCACTTTGATTGGTAATCTTGAGAGTGACTTGATTACATTTTGATTCTTCAGTAAAAATTACATTCCTTAAAAATGAATAGAGTTTTGTAAAATGTTAGCACTTCTATTAGATATGTCACCTTCCATTTCGGGGCACAATTATATCTTTATTTGAATACAGTCAACATCTCTATTCACTTTACGCACCTACGTACGTCTACAAATATTTTCATCAAAAGACATCCTGGGATTTTGTTACGGAATGATTAGCACCCCAGAAGAGCACAACAACAAACAACACAAACCATAAATGATTTCATTCGGATGTTTTTTTAGAAATACTGGATGAACACCTTTCAATATTTTCCATAAATTTTAAAAATTTTACGATTTCCAAACTTACTTGACATCTCAAATGTCAGTTCATATTTTGCGTGTATCATTATTTTCTACCGGCCTCTCAAACATACAGTTCACTATCAGCAATAATTTAAGAGTGGATCAAATACCTCAAAGGTAATATGTATTTATTATTATGTTAGCAATAATATTATTAGACAATCTTGTAATACAAAACCGAACTTTCGTTTCGATTTTGTAATATTTTTGTGAAACGTGCAAAACGTAACTGTGGTTGTGAATTATTAAGTTTATGCCAAAAACACTTTGTAGTGAAAAAAAGTAATAAATACAAAATAAATTATTTTGAGGTGTTTTACTGAAGGTAATCAAGGCACAAGGGTATTCAGCTACTCTATTCAATTCAATTCAACTGAAAATGTAGGTACTTTATTGTCGAAGAAAAAAAATTCTTATTGACAAAGCATAATTGAATTTACAGTAAATTAATTGAAGTAAAAATAAAACAATACAGGGTCTAACGCTTACATGTAGCAAGACAAGATTCTACAAAGCAGATAAGAATTGATTTACATGTTTAAATAAAATAAACCAGTTCAGTTAACCTCAAAGGTTCAGGTACTCAAAATATGTCTTCAAGATATTCTTCAAGAACCAATTCAAGGTTGTTCCTTCGAACCCATAAAGGAACAATTTTTGAAACAGCACTCCGTGATCAAAGCAATCAAAAGCCTTAAAAAAGTCACAGAATGCTGCCGCACCAACTTCACCTCTATTGAGCCCCACATATAACTCTTCTAGGAAGACAAAGTTAGCATCTACGTGAATTGGAATCTACGGCTTAACATGCATCCAGCCAAAAACAATTCATCTACTCGTCAGATGTGTAACATTATTTTCGACGCACATTGAAATAACCAAGTTGGCGTCGTCAGGGGAAGAAAAACATTCGCAAATTCTAAAATATCAGTCACAAACTAATAACTTCTCAAATTCTTAGAATACTCTTTTGTTGCGGTCTATGTTGAAAGTACAATTCAAATTAGGTATTGTTGGAACCTGTGCGAAACAGACACAACACAACTCAGAAACGAAAAATTGCATTTTTTTCTTTTAAAAACAATGTAAACGCAATCAGGCTGCAATAAGCAAAAGTTGATATTTTCATTAGAAAAGGTGTCTTAAATTGATTATCAAGAAACCCATTGCAAAAGATAATTTCAAAAATAAAAAGCATACTGAAAAAGTGTAAATATTTGACACACCGGCTTTGAAACGGTTTCTCATCCTAAATTTTCTAAAATATAGATACAGTCTACCAAAAATGTATAATGTTTTTTATAGAGGTATAGAACTTTGAAATGGAATAAAACAACGGTGAATTTTTAAATTCACATGAAATTTACTTTATTCGAAAGATAATCTTCTGGCATTATAATTTAAATATGACTTATGGCATATGACCGTCACTGCTGGCTTGGACGTAGTCTAATCTGATGGTCCAATTTTCGATGAGTTTTTTCAACATTTCTGGCCGAATATCGGCAATAACGCGGCGAATGTTGTCTTCCAAATGATCAATAGTTTCGGGCTTATCGGCGTAGACTAGCGACTTCAGATATTCCCACAGAAAATAGTCTATCGGCGTTAAATCTCACGATCTTGGAGGCCAAGTCACGGGTCCGAAACGTGAAACTAAGGGGTTACCAAATGTTTTCTTCAAAAAATCAATTGTGGCACGAACTGTGTGGCATGTTGTGCCGTCTTGTTGAAACTACAGCTCCTGCACATCATGATTGTTCAATTGATGAACGAAAAACTCAATAATCATGGCTCTATAGCGGTCACTATTGACTGTAACGTTCTGACCAGCATCGTTTTTAAAGAAGNTCAATGTGTTAATGTCGTTCAAGAAGATATAGTCACCTTTGTGATAAGCTCATGAAATTGTATATTGAACTATTATGTACTCTTTGTCGTTAACTTTACTTATGGTTTTAATCAATAACCCATATGTACTCAATTTTTATTCAATTTGTATTTTACTTTTCAACTCAATGTATTTTTTCAATCCTACTTTGGAAATTAAGTTGACGGTGGACTTATTATTTTTTTTCTCCTTGAAAATTGCAGTAGTCGGGCCCTGTCCTCGAAGCTCCAATACATTCGAGAAGGTGCGCCACCATTATCAATCAATGACCAATCCGAAAATCGTGTGTTTCAACTAACTTTTCGTTACTCGCTTCACTCGGAGATGAAAACTCGATGATGAATATCATCTTAATATGATGACTACATCAAGCATATTAGCTTGTACCAACCGCTCACTCTCCACAACGAGAGTGTTGCATAAGGCAACACCGGTGCCTCGTCAACACCGTAGGTGTGCCGAAGGTGTTGACTTATCCTTGTGTGACAGAGTTGTGATCGCCTCGTTCAGTGTTGAAAACTAAAGCAAGTTCATCGGCCGCTCGGGCAGGTAAAAATGTTTCGACCTCTACTTTTTCATGGTCCCAGCCCATACAAAAGGGAGGATCCGAACTCCTGATAACTTTACAGGTTCCAACCAAAACCATTGTGTTATGAAGGTACTCCAAACTCAAAGTCCACGACTTTTCAGTTGTTGGGGAATGTACAACCTTAGAACGGGCCCATCAGGATGCAAACTCCTGTGGAAGTATATCATTTTTTGGGTCTTCACGTCGAGTTGGTACAACTCCTCTCGAGTCCACTTGACTACTCCAAAAAAGTAGAGTAGGATCGGAATGAGAAGCATGAAATGGTGTATTTCATCAGCCCCCTTCTTTTCTGCATCTCATTATGGTAATTTTCTGATGCTTTATGGAATACCCATTTGTGTTTTATGGATAATTGTAAAATTTGGGCCTCTGGAGAAAAGGATATCCATCAGTTCGTAATATTGGTGGAAGAGTAGGAACACAAATGCTATTGATATGAAAAACAATAGACTATTGTTTTTAGGAATACTTGATCCACAAAAGTAAATGAGAAGCACATTTTAATACTAATACAAAGTATTGCAGTTGAAATTAAAACTCTTGAATAAATTTGAAGTATTGTCCTTAATAATTATCCACAGTTACTGCAATTCTACAATACTTTCTTTGAACACTATTAGCCACTTTTTATAGTACCCTTGAAATATAAACCAAATATAGAATGTTATTTTGATTTCACTGAAATATAATCAATTAGATCCAAAAAGAAGAGGTAGGTTGAATAAAGTCAAAATAATCTGCAATTATTTGAAGCTCATTGAATATATTTATCAAAATACAAATGTAAAAATATGTTGTATGTAGTATAAAATATATATAAAAATACATATGGCACAAAAATAAGCTAATCTTATAGATGATATATAATATATGTATATAAATAGGCATAAGGTCACCACATGAAGTTAATTCTATACAATAAATTTATCAAAGTCTTTCATTGACACATAGCTCTATATAAATTCAATACTTCAATTATCAAAAGAAATTGTTTATATTCAGTCTGATGAATACTTAAAGAAATTCAAAGAAAAAGCAAAAACTTGCAAGTTGATATCAGTAGATATAATTTGTTATCTATTTCTTATCATATAATTTGACACTATAATATACTGTGGCACTTATTTTGATTGTATCCTATATTGGAAATACACTTCAAAAATACACATTATAAATAAAAAGTCAACCTTTCAAAACCATACCCAAGCTGCCCTTTTTGCACCCTAACCTACTATTGAATACCCTGTATAATCAGTCAAAATGAGTAATTATTTTTCAGTTCCATAACATTCATGTGAACAGTACAATTTTTCATTTCGCAAAAGCATCTTCTTTTTCATCAATGGCTTTTTGCAAACTTTACAAGCAAAACATTCATCATTAGCATGAAAATGGACACCATTCAAATTACAACCAATTTCATCAGGTTTAATGACCCTGTTACACGAACTACATTTACTTGCTTTGCTTTGTTCAAAGCAGGGAAGGCAATATGGCATCTCATCTTCCAAGGTGTAGTCTTTTCCAGCAAGAGGCGTATCACACTCGATACAGCAAAAATGCTTCAAGTGGAATGTGGAATTCTCAGCTAGGCAATATTCTTTAGTGAATATAAGTTCATCACATGCCTTACATCTTGGAAAACCTCTGATTTTTGCATAGTCACGTAAACAGTAAATGTTATCAGACTCTTTGTTATAGAAGTACACATTGTCAGCAATGATTTGGTTACACCCAGCACATTTGAAACATCCAGTATGAAACAGTACATTGGCTCTTTCAATTGTTATGGCAAATTCTTTTTCTTCAAAGGGTCTTTTACAGTAGTGGCAGTCTGGCAACTTCATGTTGTTCAATATTTCCCTGATAATATCAGGACTATAGTCTTCATAAAAATCATTCGTTCCCTGGGTAGCTGCCTTTATTTCAGGATAACTGATGTCTTGAATGAGTCCAACATTCACTTGACTAGGATGAAGAAACTCTTCATCGACTATCAAACTACCGGGATGCATTTCAGGCAAATTTTTACCTAATTGTTTCAAATTGTTCAAAGCCTGTTTGTCAAAAGTATCAGAATTATAATCATCTAATGGTTTCCTCAAACCTCCAGAAGAGGATACATTTCTCAAATCTTCATCACTAGGTAAGGCCATATTTGAATAACTGTTTTTATTGTCAAAATTATTTTCAGAGTTTGGGTTTTGATTCTGTACCAGATTATCAACTGGTTCATTTTGATATCTCATCTGCTGCTCAGGTAAATGTTGGTTGATAGGCCTTTCAGCATTTCTCCAATTTGCTTGAATTGGTCTGAAGCCACTGGAGTTTTTGGGTGTTTCTCCCCTAGAGAAACTATTTTCGTTCTCAGGGTAGGAACCAGGTTTTCTGTAATGGCCAAATTTAAATTCACTTTCAGTATCTCCTACATCATTTGAACTGGCATTACTTGGATCGTGGGTGCTGAAAGCTAGGTCTCTGAAATTCTTAGGAATATTTGATGGGGACTGAACATCAGAATGATTACTATAACGGCCTGGCGCATAGTTTGGTAATCTGGGAGCCATATTTTTCATATTATGAGTATTTTCATAATTTTCTTTAGCTCCAACACTTTCTGTGTTGCCTTGGGCAAACTTTTGTAATACTTCCTTATTTGGTATTATGTTAGAAGTACTCTTATTTCCAATTTGGTCATTAATTCTATACTTTCTCCCCAAAGATTCATCATATGGAACATCATTATCGAGTGTACCTTTTCCTTGTCCAAAGGAATGGGGGTCTTGAGACCATTTACCTACTGGAGAATCAACAGATTTTTGATAACTATATTCCGGTGAAGCAATTTTGGAGTAGTTCTGCTCAAGAGGGTCTACATTTTCCAAAGACTGATGGTAACCAGCATTTTCTTTCTGATTTGAATTGGATTTTTGGGAATCCTGACCTGGTAAACAACCAGTTTTTCCAAACTCAAATTCAGGTAAAACACTTTTGGGATAGTTTGATGTTAGTGGATTAACTTCACCAGAGAACAAATTATTTTCGTTACGGATATGATTTGCACTTTGTGGACTCCTACCAACTGTAGAACTGCCACTTTCTTTATACTTGAGTGCCGGTGAACTAGTTATAGCATAATTTGGATCTACAGCATCCAAATTTTCTCTGGACTCATCTCCGGTTTCTAATCCACTGGACACATTTCCTCGTAGAACTGGAAAATTACTTGAGTAGGAAGGATCCATAGAAGAAATACTCTGCACATAACTTTCTCCAGGTTTCATAGTGGTAGATGTTTTCTGGTAAGGGACAAAGGCACTGCTTCCTGAGTCAAAAATACCTGAATTGTCTTCAGAAAGAACATTTTGCCCTGGCTGAGGTAAATTATAAGGCACATTTTGAGGTAGGAACTGACTGGGTCTATTTTTAAAATCAAAATTATTTTTCTGGAGATACTTGGGATCAATTGAAGGATCGATTACAGATTGGTTATCTCCACTCCCCTTATTTCTTTGAGGAACAAGACCACCAGAAAACTGGGCACTAGAGAGTCGAGAAATTGTGTCATTACTGTAACTTGGGTAGTTTTTGTCATTAAATTTATTCGGCACTAAAGGATCAAGGTTATATTCGGTTTGGTTCAAGGTATTAGGAACAAATTTCGGAAGATTTTTGTCATTCATGTTGAGTTTTTCTGGTTGGTTCAAAATATCATCAGGAGCAAAATAAGGAAGACTTTTGTCATTCAAAGTAATATTTTCCAAGTTCTTGATTAATTCTTGTGGTTTAAGTGAAAGGGCCTTGCTTTGCGACTGTAATTTAACAATTTCTGATAAAGGTATACCTTTAGCATAACGACTGGCCATCATAGCTGACTCTGCAGGATTCAACATATGTAGGTTACCTTTAATTATACTTGATAAACTAACTATCTGGCCCACACCTGCACTACTTTCCTTAACGTGTGCTATATATTCATTCATTTTCTTCAATTCTTCTTCAGTAAGATCATGACAAAGGGATGGATCAATATCATGAATAGGAATTTGTTTCTGGAGGAGTTGCTTTCTATCTTGAGCTGCTTGGGAACCTTTAACTGGCAATTGTTCGGTAGACAAAGTCTTAAGATATTTATCAACAGTATCATTATGGCCTTTGGGAGCCCAATCCAAATCCAATTCATCTTTTTTACCAGGCAGCACTACGGAAAAAAAATCATTCAAAACCAGTTTCATCAGAATTAACTTACAAATCATAAATGACTAGCATTTCATGAAAATTCTGAGTCGTTGGTCGTCTTAGGTATTCATATCACATTACTTCAATAGTGAATAGAAATCTTTTTACTTGGATTCTTACAACAAATACATGAAACTGAGTTGAAAATAATTATGTCATCAATTAATTAGGGCATGGAAATAAGACAGGCATATTTTTAATCACATTTTCGAGCAGATGAAGTGTCAAGAGAAATTTATTCAGTGACTAAGAGTGTGAATAATAACAAATAATAACATAAAATTTAATAAGAAACGAAATTAGACCAATTCTTGCAATCATCATTTTGATTATCCATTCAAATTCAGTCTGGATGACACAACGCTCATATTTGTTGTACTCAAAACACCCTTAACTTAAGTGAAAGCAAAATAGAAACTTACAAATTTTTTTCCTGATTTTATTTGGTTTACTGCCAACCAGTTGAAACTGTGCCCATCCATAAATATCATCATCTTGAACTTCGTGTTCTTCCTTTGGACATTTACAAAGCTTGCAACATTTTCTCCAAAAATGAAGGTCCAAGCCTGGTTTAAAATATTTAATTATTAACAAGACGTCATGTTTCTTTAATTTATATTAAATGCAGTTAAAACTCAAAGCAATAAGTCAGTCCCCAGAATGCAGAATAGTAGATATATGTTGAAATATATAATATGTAAAGGAATATCGAGATAATTCTTCAGTAACTATATTTCCTACCATTTGTATACAGGTATTCTACTCTATCTTATTTTTTATCAACAACCATCTCCTAGAATATCTCAAAATAGCTAATATCATATATAGGGGATATAATCAATATCACCAGATGGTAATATTGACTAAATACATATAATTCATGCTCTTAATGGTAATATAGTTCTAAACAAGAAAATAGTAGAATATCACAATAGTTATCAGCCCAAGTAAAATGAAAAACTAGTAGTAGGGTTAATACAAAGATTGCTGCAAACAGCCTGAAGAGTGATGAAGATTGGTTCATTCTGCTATGTTATATAACTGGCAGGTCTTCAAAAAGCCACAATGTTCTCTAGATGGCTCGGATACTTATTGACGTAGCATACTCAGAATACCAGGCTAAAGACTGAGTACTAAAAATAATATTCATTCACCATTTTCGATTCATAACTTACATGTGGTGTTCGCCGAAAAAAGGTACATAGTGTACGAAAACAAGTTTTCGTGAAAAACGGGTTTGAAGTTTCGCAGTATATTACTACTATGTACACGCCTTCAATAGAGTGTGAGGTCTTGATATCATTGGTCTGGATATCTGTAATGTCATTCCTGCAACCTGCGATTTTCATTCTCATTGCAATCTGGCGGCAGCTATAGTTATTAAGTCTGCGATTGGGCTACAATGCAGGTGATTAAAGTCACCTTTTCTGAAGTAACCTTGTAGTGACCTTTTCATTTCTGGATTTTTTATATTATCAACACAAATGTTTTCTTTCAGTTTAGTAATTTTCGTGAGAACTTCATCATGAATTATTGATTTTCATAAATTCAGTTTTAATAAAATGAACGCAAGTGACGATTTTAAAAAAAAATCTAGACGTTTTCGATGAAGATTTCGAGATGGTTAATGCGATATACCATGAGGTATTTAATGAAGATGAATCTTCTGCAAGTTCTTGTTTGAATATTACATCAGAAAATTGTGAAACTGAGTATGCTGCGTTTCAGAAGAATTTGATGTAGTTCTCACATCAGTATCCTAGAACTTGACCTTGACCTTGACCTCTACCTTTTTTCAGCGAATGGTTCTGAACATACAATTACCAAATAAAGGTGTAAAAAAAATGAATTCCCAAGTTTGACGAAGTTATCGTGAAAGAGCATGATTTCAAGTATATCAAATCATCATTAGGTCAAAACTCATATTTTGAGACACAATTTCTTTTTTTCGGTGAACACCACATATATAGTAGGTCAACAACGAGTAAAGGAGCAGTATAATAAAATATAAATAAATATCAGATTATACAGTACGTTACTTAATAAAATGAAAGAGAACTAGAATACATTTGCATATACACAGATATCACATTGGCAAACTCACACACACACACATTCAATAATGATAATTAAAAATGTGGCAATTGTGCTTGGCATCGTCATACATCAATATATAAAATAAGTTGAAATCACCATTCAGAAAATTGAAACTGAAGCAAAAACAACAAGTAAAACATTATATCAATTGAAGTGTTTACTCTTGAGGAAGCTATTGTATAGCAAAACATGTGGGGCAGTTTTTGTAAAATCCTTTATAGTGAAAATCATACAATAAACTGTATTAATTAGTTTTAAAGATAACTTTGTTATTTCAAATAGAATGTCCTGTATTTTTTTGGTCAGGACAATATAAAATTCAGTTACCTTTCATTTCATTTTGAGGTTCCCTGTTCCTAACCTAAATAATTTTTCAGATATTGGCTTTTTCAAATCGTAGTTCTTATTTCAATGCATTCTTTGAATCAAGACAGCTTTGAAACAACATTTATTCAACTTGTTGAAAGAATTCTTATTTACAGTTATTGTTTTACTTTATTCAAAACATTCACTGAATTATTACCATTGAAAATGAACATTTTTTTAGTTCCAATTTATTTTCTAGTGAATCTACTTTTCATAACAATGGCTTAGTGAACAGACACATCTTCCATTATTATAGTAATGTGAATCCTCATTTTTCCACACTCTCGATCACCAGAATAGATGGTCTGTTCAAATTATAAATGAAAAGGATTGAAACTGGTGTACCTGGGCATTTTTCAGCACATTTTAGGCAAGGTGCACCTGCTCCTGCTTCATGTCCCAACTTTGCTTTCAACCTTCTTTCCCTTTTAGCTTCCAACTCCTGCAGCCAATTTGGAGTTTCTGGACATCAAAAAATATTTTTTTAAGAAACCGCTGTCAAAAATTCAGGTTAGTAACGGTCAAGGTGTTGGTTATTTTTGGAACATGTTTGGGATATGTTCCAAAAATAATCACTAACCAGTATTTTTGACACCAATTACCCAGGGCCGTCACTGAAAATATTTTTTGGTTATTTTTTCCAACTTTAAATTATCAAATCAACACACATTTGAAATAAAGTTGTAGGATTCTTGCATAACGGAGTAAGCAAAGATATATCTACGATGCAGATTGCGTTGAAGATGTTCAATTCGCGGTAGCGCGGGTTTTCCGAAATGGAGAGACCTGCGATAGATTGTGACTTCACTTCCACCGACAGTGGCGCACACAAACAAAAATATGCGAAATGTCATATATTTATGAAAACTTCCGAAATAGATGCGATATTTTGTGTTATATATGCACTGGATTGATTGGAACAAAACTGACCGCCTCACGACGGAAATCACAAAATTAGCCATTACCAAGAGACATAAAAAGAAATACGAGAGCCTGAGTGAGAGCTGAATCCTTCACCACAGTTCAATAGACAAACAATTTTCAACCTCTCCGATTGGAAACTTTTAGACAAGTTCGGCATACCTACTCGCTAAAGGTGGAAACTTTGCTATAGCTCCAGCCGAAGTATTCCACGAGGATATCATTGCCAATGTGGAATCAAGTATTCGTATTTTGTCTAACGACATTGGTTAGGAAATCTGCATAGAAACGTCGGGAATTGTAATCCGCGCAAAACCACCCAATTCCAACACAACACGACGGGAAAGAGAGGCTCTGAAAAATCTCAATACAGATGAGAATATTGTCTGCCGACAAAGAAAATGTCGTGATGAACACCCAGGAATATAATGAGAGAATTGTCGTCTTACTCGATCCAGGAACATACAAAAGAATCAGTCGGGATTTTGAGAAGAACGAGTTTCCTTATCCATTCGTCTAGTAGAGAACACGAAAAAGTCATACAAAAATCCGAAGCCTTTTTGCCATATATAAATGGCTTACCAAAAATCCATGAATTCGATAGGTTCACCAATTTATGAGTTGTCCAAATACTTGATAACCGTACCGCAGCCGTATATAGAAAATACAGACTCATTTATTTAAAACTCGAGACAGTTCATCGAAAAGAGTAGAGATATGAAGTTAGGTCCTGGATGGTCCCGCAAAATGGGCAGGCAGAACTTAAGTCTAGCGGTGGCATGGAAAATTTCGAACAACGAGCCTTAGAGCAAGCGGCTGTGAAACCATATTGCCGGGGCTACGTTATGTTGACGACACGTTCGTGATATGGCGAGATGTGGAAGATACCCTAACAGATTTTCTACTACATCTTATCCCCTTCGACCCAAAAATCCAATTCACAATAGAACGAGAAATCCAAGGAACTCTAGCCTTCTTGGATGTTCTTGTGAACAGAAGTGAAGACGGTAAATTGGGCTACAGAGTGTACAGGAAACCAACAGACAGAGGCAATGAACATTACTGATATCTGGCAACCCATCCCTAATTATACAAAAACAAGGTCAGGTAATCCAGTTATGAGAAACTAAGCCACGCCCACCAATAATTAAATAAAGCCGGGGTCAAATATCAGCATTGTAATTTCTGCGTTTGGAACAACGGAAACAACAAATCGAGCACCAACTCGAGCACTTCGATTGTTGCCTCATCACCTCCATCTACCGCAGTAGTAGACGAAACTTCAGACACAAAAACCTGCAGACCACGACAAAAAAACGGAAAATAGCGACGACACAATAATAAGGTAATTTAAATTCAAATATTAATTACAGAGAATATTCAATACACCAGAAGAAAATTTTAAGACTGAAAACTATACGTTTCTGAGAGAAAACTCCATTCTAATCACAGAAAGATTTGTTTATATTATGATACCTATAAAATATGAATACTTGGAGTTCTGAAATAGAAACAGCACAAGAAAGTAATATAACATGGCTACATGAACACTAAAGGACTTCCCCCACCGATGAAAAGGTATATATTATATAACATTTTTTTCTTCTTATCATCTAAGCTTTGCAACCTAATATGTCTCAATGACGCTCGAGTAAATCCCCATTTTGAATCATGGGCTCCCCTGCTATATCAGACAATGAGCTAATATTCTCGCTGGACCCAAAATCCAGCTTTCAGCTGCATTTTAACAACTAGACGGAGTTGACCATTTTTAGTTCAACAGGTACTACATTGAATACTTTTGGTTTTAAATAGTTTGAAGGCTGTTGGAATAAAAAGGTGACTATTTCCTTTCCGAGTTGCAAATTGAGGATTCTTCAGGTTCGCTTTTTTGTGCTTCACAATTAATACGTTCAAAAATATTTGCCTCATATCCAATATACTTGATAATAATATGATCTAATACCATCACTGGAGTACAATCGATTTTTCCCATTAATTATTCTATTTTTGGATCATATGACTATTATAGGAACCCCCAGGCGATCAAACCATACCTCAGTTGAGATTTTACCGGCTCAAAGTATAATACTTTAAAACTTTTTATTTTAAGAAGTTTCTTAACAAATTTAAAATTTGTAGGTCGGTAGCCGGTCGGGTTGACATGGGTGCTTTGCTCCACTCACTCAATCGACCGCCGTGTAAACCAGTGGTTCAAGCCGCAGGCCGAACGATCAATTTTCACTTGCTGTCGTTCAACCGTGTTAGTCGTACAAATTTCGACTTATGAGAGTTGTCGCTCTTAGGGGGACGCAGCTGCTTAACGGAAAAAAAGTTTTAAACAGATTTTAAATTCATTTTGAACTTCGTAACTAAGCTTCGATACTTTTTGTATGTGGAAGTCCCATTTCATGTGCTTGTCTAGACCAACACCTAGATACTTGAAGTACTATGCTTGAAGTTGTCTGCCAAAGGGGTTTGAAAATATTATTATACTCGGTGATGTTAAGTTCAGTAATATTTGGAATCTTCGATCAGTTGACCAAAAATGGTCAAAATTTTGTTTCATCAAAATTGATTGTGAGTGATCTTGAATCAAACAGACAAGGATAAGAGAGAAACAATAAAACAACGTTTCGATTCGAGGTATTTTAATACGATTCTAGTTTTTTTCATTTCAAAAATACAATATCAGTATAGTTATCACAAAACTGATTTTTTCATACTGACAGAGTAACGAGTTCACAACAGTGAATCTACTTGCCCGAAGGCATAATGTCTTCACTAATGAAATTAACTCTGATAGAAGATTAATCAGACATGCCCCTTTCCATAACAATGAAGATATGAACATATAGGAAACTGTCAACACAATAAAATAAAAATACTGAAAATAATGAAAATTAAATTCTGGATTTCTTTTTGACAACTTCAGTCCATTCTTCCCTTTTTGTCTGAGAAAGTGATTTTTTTTCTTGAGGTTGATTTACAACAGAAAATACATCTTCTTTCCCATTTTTTGTGGTATTTTGCTGATGGGTCTTATCTTCCGACATTTGCTGTTATTGGTGTTTTTATTCATCAGCAAACTAATTTTTTCATTCAATAGAAGTTTATCTTCTAATAATATGGTATATTTTTCATTGTTTTCTGGAATGATTGACTTCATAAGATTAATTTCTTCCGTCACGCACATTTGCATCTATTTGGGTAAAATAAACAAACCTCCTTACGCTGGTCTATCAGATTTAATTGCAATCGGCTGGCGAAATTCATTCAGGTCTGTCGCTACAGGGTCGGAGTCGTGAGTTACGTTTTAACGCCTGTGGTGACTTTATGGTATTTCAAAATTTAAAATTTAAAAAAATGTCATGTACTGGTACGGCTAAAGAAACTGCTGATTCGTGTCCCAACATTCCACCTAAAAGATTTTCCTATATCCAGCCAAATATTATTAAAAAAATCGGTCGTTTCTTAGTGCTTCTAAGCACTAAGGCTGTACAAGCAGCCTTGTCTGGGAAAGCACGTGCACTATGCATGTTAATGTTTTGGAGCACTCTTTTGCTTAGATGGATAGAGTATATATCCCATGTAACTTCCAGTTTGGTAATGAAAGAGTATTCGCCTCCCGGAAAATGATTTACGGTAGCCGAATGATATATATTTTGAACGATGCAACTTATTTTCCTCCATTTTCAGTATTTTAATATTAATATTATGTTACAAAAAGGATTTGAAGCGTTATAACTCCTATTTATTATATGCGAGCGCTTTCGATAGCTGGTCGTGCTATCATCATCAAGCCTCTACTCAAACTACAGTTTGAATAGAGCCTCGATGGGATTGAAAACAAAAATAGGGGGGAAGTCTCGGTATGGTGTCCGTACTTTTCAGCAATACTTCTCAAGAGCATACACTTTTTCAAATGTTTTTGTCTGGAAAATTTCAAGTAGTAGGTTTTTGGTATAGTTATCTTCAAAATACAAATTGTTATCCATTAAAAAACTTTGTATTTCATCTTTCCTCGAATTTTTATTCGGTACTTTGATGAGCTGTCGCGAATGATAGGAAGCGAAGAACTATTACACTAATTCGCATCCAAATTTGGGATCAAATGTGTTTTCAAACCATTTCTCAAAAAAAGAATTCGAAACCCATCCTTTACTTCCTTCGCAATGCACAATGATTAGTCGCTATCCTCCGTTTGCAGGCATATTAGGCGTACACATCCTCGAACCATCAGTCCACCCTTTCGTAACTGTGTCGTGACTGTCATACCAAGTTTCTTCCCAATAGAAAGTTTGCCGTTGTTCTTGTTGTTCTTGTCTATATTTAGTTATTTGTTCTAAGTATTTGTTACGCAATTCCACTATTCTTCTGCTTTCCATGACTGCTTGGTGTTTGTTTATTATTTTAAATGTAAATCCTAGTTTCATTATCCAATTCTGAAGAGTTTTGTCACAGCAGTTCACGTTATGTTCGAAAGTACCTATTCAATTTCTTCCTAACGATTTCAGTTGTAGGAATCTTATTGGTTTTGTAACAGTCGTATACTGTTTTTTCAATGATTTTATTAGATGAATACCTAAAGGTTTTGGTAATCCCATATCACAACTCTCATTACCAGAGAAAAAACCCTTTTCTTTTTCCTTTCCTTTTTTTCCCTATCAACGTTATTCAAGGTCGAATTATTCTGATTGTCTTTAGGCACAAAAAAACTGAACTGAATTGTTTTGAATGTTATACAGGGTGGATGCTGTGCATAAATATATGATTTCAATACATTACTTTTCTGTTATCTTATAAATCCGCTCTTGCATTTTGGGAACCGTAACAAGGTTACTTCGACTGTACCTACAACATTCAACTTTCCGTCCTGATACCTGAGGAAAACATGTCTAATTTTACTCTTATGCCACATTAGGACTAAGTACAATGTTTGAAATTGTCAACTTTCTTGAATCCAAAGTTTGATGTAGGATATATTTAATTAATGCAAATGGATTAGAAAAGTCTACATATTTTTTAATAGATAATTTGATTTCCAGTAATTCTATTCTGTTTTTTTTTTTCATAATAAGGACATTGTCTGCGCTCAAATGTCGGAATTGAACACGAAAAATCCATAATTTTTTCAATTTGAATTGAACAATTTTGACCAGTTATCTTTGATGTTGACATAAAATTCTTTTTTTCTGTTTATTGGGCTTGGGTGATCATGGTTTACTTGAAAAGTTTCAGCAAACTAACCACTAGACGAAATTTTCAGGTTGACACTAGTCACCTCGATCTTGAAAAGTGCATGGTTCCTGTTCCGTGCTGAGTATCCCTTCTGAAAGGTATTTTTTGCTCTCGGGATCTCATTAGAAATTAAAAGTTTCTCTGTCCGAACAGAGACCTAATAAGTTTTTCACTTCGTTAAATGTTACATTTATTGATTTACTTTTCTGACATTTCAACGGAGAATGTTGTAACATATACCTGGCTTCGGTAAAATATCTTAAAATACTTCAAAATGGGACAGAGTGTTTGGATCATTGGAAGAGTCAAATCATAAGACCATATATTGGAATATATATACCAATTATGGCACATAAAAGAAAGAGGAGGTTAAATCTAAAGCTTATAGAGATGTTATTGAAATTTGTAAACCTTCAGAAAAAATAGGCAGGTTTTGAATCTTACCAGTCACAGAAAACACATTCATTTCACAAATATCAGTTGATCGGTGTTAGAAAAATATCTCTTGTAGACTTCTGAACACTACTCAACGAAAAACCCATAAGTTATCAATTGGAGTGATTGAGTGGATATTTTGTCCGCTTATGTTTAGAATGTTTACAATTATCAGTGATAAATATCGAAATTGTGTTCAAAATATGTACATTTTTTCGATACCCAGCAGTCGCTTCCTTAATTACAATCCCAAAAGTTAATACTTGTGCTAAGGGTTAACGGGGTCTTAACTTCAAATATGCGACTCCTAGCACGGGTTAGACGTTACGCAGTAAGTGAAAAAGTTTGCGAAACGAGCGTAGCGAGTTGAGTAATTTCGCGAACAAAATAAAACTTACTTTTAACACAAATATCATACATTTTTTTGTACAACTGTCTTGTTTCCATAATAAAGTAGATAAATTCAATATTTCCATGAAAACACATTTTGACATCTTTTGTCAGTTAACTATTTTCATGTTATCGTATTTGCTGTGAAGTGGCCGTGTCAGGTGACGCCGAATCACCTGGTTACCAAAAACAGTATTATTTACGGCTCACGCGTTTTATTTAAAGTTCTATCGGGTTTTTATGTCTTGCATAATTAAGCACAATAGTGAGGAATTGTGTGTTCCTGATGATATTGAAGAGGCTGCAGAAAGAGCTTCAATTGAATTGTTACCAAAAAAAATCGGCTCAGCAGTACGACATCGCATATTCTAATTTTCTTAGCTGGTGTAGACTTAAAAACGTCGAAGAAAATTTTAGCGAAACCGTCTTCTTAGCCTATCTAAAAGAGAAATAAAAAATATGGAACGCGTCAACTTTGTGGAACAAGTTTTCAATGATAAAGTCGAGTGCTCTCGTTAAAAATGTTGTCACTACAAGCAAATATTTTAAGGTAACAGCATTCTTAAAGCGGAGAAATGAAAGTTATAGACCCTCACTCCAGAGGTGTATAAATGAGACGCCAGATGTAAATATTTGATGATAAAAGTTGCTACTATTCATTATTCAAATTCCAAATACGAAAACGAAAACTGGTCGTTTTTTTGCATTGTTGGGAAAAACATTGACTATTTTAATAAATACGTTGCATTACGCCCTTGTTATAAATCATCAATTTTTTTTTCTGAAATACTCAAATTATAAATACAGTGTTAACCCAGTTGGTATAAACACGTCTGGAAAAATGCCCTCTAACATTTCTGAGTTTCTGAACCTCCTGCAACCAAAAGAATATACATATCACTGTTTCAGAAGGTCTTCTACTTCTTTCCTAGCAGAATCAGGAGCAAATGTAACGGATATTAAGAAGCCAGGAGGATGGAAGCCTACAACAGTAGCTGAGGGTTACATCGATCAATATATTTCTAATAGAAAGGATATTGCTGAAAGAATAGTCCCAACAGCTAGCTCCAGCGTTACAGCATTGTCCTCTCCACTTCAAAAATGAAATGTTAATGCTCATGAAATTGTCAACTCAGATAGTTCAAATATATTACAAGGTTCTTCAACATCGCAAGGTATTAATATCAGCAGTTGTTCTTATTGTACTTTTCATATTAATGTTCATAAATAATAATAATGTAATTAATGTATATAATACATTTGTAACAGAATTTAATTGTAATAACACTTCATAGAAAATTGAATAATTATGTTTTGTTTATTGCTATTTGGTCGAAAAAAATCGTTTTGAAAATACTTTTAACAATAGTGTTAAAAATATTTTTAACATGCTAATTTGTAAACATAATCTTTTAATACTCTTGACAACCATTAAAAATGCCACTTTTAATGACAGTTGTACAAAAAAATTTATTTCTCAAAGTTTATTGCTTGAATATTATTATGTTTCAAATAAATACATTACGTTCTGATAATTTTGCAGTTGAAATTGAGTACAATATCTGAAAAAAAAGTGTTGACAATTCTTTTCAGATAAATGAATATTACTCTTCGTATAAATAGTAAATTTCAATATTGCATAATCAGACATCAATAAAAAATCCACCTCAAACAACTACTTTCACAGTATACTACAAAACGTCTGCTGACATCTAATCACAGTTAAGTTTTGAGAGAATATCGTAAATAATTAAAAACAAGTAAGTGAATGTAAGCAAATATGTTATAATTTGTTTATTGTTCTTCGAAATTAGAATACATGAATATTTATCAAAATATCCCAAACAATAAAATTATTACATCTCTCACATTTTCGCTCAACAAATTCATGAATTATTTCCAGTATTTTTGACGAAGATTGGAAGACGTTTTTGCAAATTAAAACTTTGCTGCCAATGAATGGAAGTGGACAAAACGACGCAAAACAGTTTTGAGATTAACCTGTTCAAATAACGGAAGTTATCAAGACAAATAAATGGAAAGATAGTTTCTATGATATATTGTTAAATAAGAATGTTTATTGTTCACTCATTAACAATCAATAAAAGAGAAGGGACTCATCTTTATTTTGCCCTAGGACATTAAAAACAAACTCAAACAAAAATTAACTATTTTTTTTCTGTTGATAATCAAAATATGCATGAGTTTATATTTAAAAGACACAAAAACTCACGAATTCATTGTGTGATAAATGTGCGGATGGAAATATTCTTTACAGGTATGAATATCAAAATATTTCATTCTACTTACAAACCAACATTAATTTGTGATGTATATACTTTTAGAGTATCAACTTCATCATGAAAATTGAACATGTGCTAAAAGTTCAATTTGTTCTAATTCTTTCGACCTACCAGTTAAAAAGAACTACAAAAATGAATTCATCATCATATAGTCAATAATTATAAAATAATTTGCCAACTGAGCAATTTCACATATTAAAAAAATATTTTAGATTTTTACTGGAATGATTGCTGATTGCAAATAGGTATTTACACTTGTTCCTCTCATAGTGATCACTTCTATTACAAAATTTCAGTTTCTCTGCATGAACTCAATTGGTAAGACTTCACAATCATGAGGAACAGATAGATGTAGTGTTGACATTTTTCATTTCCAACGAGACATTTTTTTGGTCAGTTTCAAATGTTACCTAAAAGTCCCCTATATATAATTTTTCTAATAATCCAACATTCCAGTCACTAGGCACTGTTGTCAACACGTGCTCAATTTTCAGATAATCCATATATTCAATATGATGACACCAACTCGATCAACTATAATTCTTAAGTTCAATGACCAATTGAAATTTCATGAAATCACTTAGGTATTTTCAAATTCGAAAATATAGTAGTCATGTGAAATGGCCTATATAAAAACTTAACATAAGGGAAAAGGGTACATAGTATTGTTTCGTAGATTTACAAAATCACAATCTGTTGCAGTCAATTTCGCAATTAAAACCTGACTGAAATTATCACCGAGAATTCTCTCTCCAAAATCTACTATAAAATAACACTTGAACAATTCAATTTACATGTCTTCACCTAATAGTATATTCAATTCATTCAGTCTACTTGTTCTTTCTATGCTATCTGCTTCCTTCAAGAGTTCATCTTTTTCCTTTTTCAAGTCTAATCTATTGAGATGATTCAGTTTGCTGAATTCCCATGACCCTGTTCCATCAAACTGAAGAATATGTGTATGGAATTTCCTTGAAAATAAATAAAAATAATAATCAATTTATATGTGATTGATTGAGGATGCAGTAAAACTATTACATGTGATAATAGATGTAACAAATTTGAAGCGATAGTCGAGTCAGTTATTAACTAAATTAGGGACTGCTAGTTATGCCCTTTTCAAGACGCTCCAGTCTTTCACCAATTATAACTTTTCACATCATGAAATAAGTGATCATCGGGTTAGAGGATCATGTGCCCTGAGGAGAGGTATCATTCCGAAAACAAATGAATCCTCATATTCCTTTCATTTTCTCTTTCTGGACCAGGTTCGATTCACAAATAACTGCAAATTCCACAATGAATATCGGCTTTAGAAGAAAGCACTCCATCAATTTTTTCAGCCCGCCATGAGGTGGTGAACAAGTAGTACCAATCCCGTGGGTTGGGCTACCTATCGGGCGCATCTCCAGGTGGCGGATAGGAGAACGGCCAGGGGACTGGAGGCCCTGTCCGAGAAGCCAATATGACCTTACGGACGGGGTCGCCGGACTCCTGGTCAGTGGCAGAAATAAGTAGGGTGAGGGGATCTACAACTCCCCAAAAGCCTTCGCAAAACATGCCACTGTGGACCAGCCTACCCAAGCTAAGGTGTAAGAAATCGTTCCGACAGCTGAATGGCCGCAGGGTGATATGCGGTTATGAACGATCCCCTTGGGGAACTGGGCGAAACCTCATTGTAATCAGCCTACCTCTGGTAATGCGGAGCTCTGCCAGAGGTGACCAACTCTTCCCTTGCTATTCGTGAGAACACATATGAATGAAGCAAACATGAAAAAAATTAACAAAAACAAAAACCAATCCCGAGGCTGGTGTACACCGCAATATCTAAGGCGGTGGCTGGGGATAAACAGAAATGTCCACCCCAATCCACCGCTTGGAATGAGGCTGGACATAGCAGATCACCTCGTGATGTAATACCAAGGCCAAGGCGTAAGCGCATTTGCGGCGCCGAGGCCAGAAGGAAAAAGAGAGCGAAAGAGGCAGAAGTGGCAGCAACTATAAGTGCGCCCTCCTCCTTCCCCACTCCACCTCCAAAAGCAAGGGCACTTCTTGCGGCGGGCGCCAAGAGCTCCGCCTTGATTAAAGGAAAGGAATCGGCTGCCCGTGCAGAAAAGGTTCCTCACTTGTGCACCTTCTCGGAGGGAACCCCAAAAAGGTTGAAGAAGCCGCGCAACGACAGTAATGTCGCTGCACCTTCTAAAACCTTTGCGGATGCCACCGTGAGACAGCTTAAGGTTGCCAAAGAGAGTGTGTGTTCGGCGAGTCTTAGCCTACACCTGTCAATATAGAGAAGATGTCTCCTAGTGACCTATCCACCTTCCTGGAAAGGACAGGATGGACGATAACCTAGGAGGTAGGTAGGTAGGTCTGAAGTGAGTGGGTCTATTCGACCCTCAACCGCAACCCATAAGGGTTTATTGTGGCTCACACCTATTCACACTCGGCCAAACAAACCCAGCTTCTTAACGAAGCCGATTAGTTTGTATGGTGAGTGGTCTTTCAGATCAGATGGTGAGAGTACGGATCTGCTGAACTCTAAGAACCTGATTCGATCCCCAGCGGGACAGGCACAAAGTATATGCTCTGCAGTTTCATCATTTTCCAGACAGAGGCGACACACACTGTCTTCCGACAGTCCAAGTCTCTGCATGTGAAGATTCAAATGACAGTAACCTGTAAGAAGACCTGTAGACATCGTAGTTCATCCCTACTGTAGTCCAACAACTGTTTGGAATCAAGCTTCGAAGGGTGAGTAAACGCCTTGGAGTGAGCCAATCCTGGAAGATTCTGGCAGAAGTCCATAACTCTTCTTGCCATCCAGGTGTTGAGTGTTTGTTTGGCAAAGCCCAAAGCGATGCCAATGACAGGTTCTGGTTCAAAGAAGCCGCATGCAGCACCCTCCTTTGCAAGAGAGTCAGCAGCTTCATTGCCTTCGAGGCCAGTATGGTCAGGAATCCAGACCAAACCTAGGAGGACAACTCCTCGGGAGGATGTGGCCTATGTGCTGTGGATCTACACTCATCCTCCCTACACTACAGATAAAGATACAGAAGTAGTGCCAATAATTCCGGCACTGCCAATTCTCCAAAATGGATTTCATATCTCTCGGAGCGTAAGCCTCAATGATGTCTCGGGATTACCGTTAGAGTGCCAGAGTGAGTGAAAGAGAACTTGATACGACGAGCTCATTTTTCTCTATTAATGGATAGTATTATAGTCAGAATCTCTATCATTCTCCGAAATACCCAACATATTTTCATCAAAAATAGTAATTCAGAATATTTTGTCACTTACCAAAGAGTAGGTCTGTGTGTAATGGTGAGAAGGGTGATGCCCATATCAATTGCACTTTGGTAAATATGGCTCTCGACGTCAATTGACACTGCTGAAGTGCATTCATCAAGAAGGGCGTATTTTGGTCTGAAATGTAAAAATATATTTGACTGAACGCAAAATATGAAATTTCAAGTCATGGTCATATTCAACTAATGAACTGGATGGGGAGTAGAACTCCCCATCCAGTTCATCCCCATCCCCAATCTCTAGTAAATTTTCCTGTCAATCAAGGATATGTTTTCAAATTTTCTGAGATGTTCGCAAATACAAACCTCAATTTTTTTTTGTTGAACTGAATGTTTAATAACTTTTAAACTATTTGTTTGCGCAGCTTGTCTCAAATCTCAAATTACTATAGATGTAATTACGAATCGAATCAAGATTTTCTGTCGAGGAGAACTCTGATTTTATTTGTGAACTAGAGTTATTCTGAATGAATAATAATCGTTTAGCCTGCATTCCAAAAACTTAGAACGATACGATAATATGTCGATTCCACTGTCGTTTTTATTCGTAAACAAATAATAAAATATTATGGAACAGAATAAAAAATTGAGATTTTAAAATAATACCTTCATAAAGAAGACTTATTGACTTGTTCGAAAATAGGATTTAACGAATTTTGATTAATGATATCTGACAAATCAATAATTTAATAATCAGATAATGAATATACAATCTAAAAAATATAATATGTGAATGCTACCACCATACGGATTATACATAGGAGAGGGGGCTTAATTTTGTAAGAGATAAAAATATTTTTGGTTGCATTACAAAACAAAATGAATACACAATATGAAGCATATTTTTCTGGGTCATTTTCAACAAAATAATCAATTAGATACGTGAAAATTTAGTTTGATTAATGTAATTGAACAAAAAAGTAGAGAATTGTTTTAAGAATTATTTGTGTAGGTATATTAATGGGACAAAATTACTTATTGATGACACTGATATGTGACTACTCTAATTACTTACTACACTGTTGAGGTTTCAATAAAACCAAAAAAAAAGTGTTTTCATTACTCATTATTATGGAAATTATATAAGCATAGGTAACCAAAAAAATATTTCTGTAACAATTCATTCAATAATTGTTTTTATTTTTGATAGAACTAGAATTGAAATTTGGTCCAAAATGTGTGATTCACATGTTGAAGAATAGGAAAGTGGGCTCTCAACTAGTTTTGCATTTTTAGACTTTGGCTTCTCATGGTTCTATTGATATTGCTGACAAATAAAATGGAAACTCTAATAAAGTATAAATATTCAGAATATCGTTCTAAAAATGGCTATTTAGGGAAAACATTTCAAATAGATGAATTAAGGTCCTCAGTATGCAATAGTAAACATAATTTGCCACGTTACTCTCTGTTTTTATTACCACAAGTGGTATCCTGAAATAGATTAATATTATATTTTACGTTTCTACTTTTGGATGGCCGTATCTCCGAAAGTAGATCCAAGCACACGTTTCAACTTCAGATTCGTCATCAGCGGACAAAACAACAGAAGTCCATTTCTGTTTAAAATCTGTTTTTCCGTTAATCAGCTGCCGCCCCCATACGAAAGACAACTCTCAGAAGTTCAGAAACTTGTGCGAGCTAAGGACTAACGTGGTCTTACCTTTTAACGTGTGATTCCTAACACATTAAAACAGTATTTTGAAGAAAGCGCGAGCCGTGTATCCGAATAATTGTTGTATTAATAAGCATTTTTCTATTTTCACGATATCAATCGCGACAACAAACAATATACTGATGTCACATCACGAATTCCACCTTTTCAAATTAATACTTATGTCTCTACTATGATACCTGGTCAATAGTACAACGTGTTCAAAAGTCATATTCGTTATATTTATGGAATAAGGAAGTATGAACATGTGTCCCACAGACTTACGGAACTGAACTGGTTTACCATGAAATATAGGTTCAAATTTCAGTCAATATGTTTATTTCATGAAATTATATTGTATAGAAATCCGCCTTATTTATATCGTAAACTAACATTTCACAACATGAATGTGATAAACAAAAATGTAATCATATTCCCACAAAACAGGACTTCAGTTTCTTGAGGAACTTTTCGTATTCGATTTTTCATCTTTATAATTATAATCCCAATTCGCTAAAACAACACAATAATATTGATAAAATCAAAAAAGAACGTAAAAGTTTTCTGCACAAGTTAACACAATTCAATGCATTTCTTTTTCGTATATCCCTCTCTTTTCTTTTCTTTTTTTTTCTCCATCCTGTGAATGACAAATATTCATTTCTCGTGTATCTGTTCTGTTCTGTCTGTTTGAAATCTGTTGTTGATCATGGGGTAAGACTTGATAAATTTATAGGTCTCATACAAAACACAGTGGAAAAGTCCACGAAAAATATCAAAATAAAAAGTTGAGAGAGAAAACGAAAGAATTGGATATCAAAATCGTTGACAGGCGCTACAAATAAAAAAAAAAGATGATTATGTGTCAACAGAACTAACAGAAATAGCAAATAATTTTAATGACTACTTCATAAATGTAGGTTCAGAATTGTCAAAAAAGATTAAAAAAGAAGATGGCTACAGAGAAATAAAAAAAATTATTGAAGATTCGCTTTTTGTCTTCCCAACAAATACTTTAGAGATTAAAAGTGTTATATCAGCTAAAGAATAAAAAATTGCCTGGACCCGACGATTTAAAATCAGAAACATTCAAAATCATAGTGGACGTCATCAAGATTCCGCTTACATATATAATCAATGCGTCATTTGATATGGGTGAATATTCTACAGCATTCAAGCTATGACTACTGTTGTTCCAATCTACAAAAATGTTAATAGAGCTGAGATGTTTAACTATCGCCCCAATCATTGATATCTAACTTCAGTAAAATCATTGAGTGAAAAAAAGCGGCTGAATTCATTTCTGAATAAATGCAACATTTTGTTTGATTCACAGCTGTGATTCTGAGAAGGAAAATCAACTCAGGATGCTTTTAAAAAACAGTTCGAATAAACAAGGCTATAGACTTGAAGAAACCTTCCACCAGAGTAGTCGTAGATTTGGCAAAAGTTTTCGATACTGTTGATCACTGCGAACCTTGGAGGATATGGGTATGAGAGGTACAGTATACATTCTCATTCACTAACTCGAAGAAAACAACAAGTACGAATTCAAAAGCACATTAGCAAGCAACAAATGATTACATGTTATGTACCACAAGGTACCGTGTTAGGGCCCTTACTCTTTACTGTTTACCTAAACAATCTATTCATCACAGGAGCAGAAAGTGAAATAATAAGTTTTGCGGACGATACTGTCCTGTTGTATGGAAGTGACTCTTGGCAAGAATTAAAACATAAAATCGAAAATGACTTTCCCAAGATGATAAAATGGCTGAATTATAGATTGCTGTCAAGTAATTTCGGAAAAACCATTCATTCACCTTTCAACAGCAATAAAATTTATTCACCGCACTTCAATCAAATTTCCATCGGTAATAACCATTATGTCAGCAGATAAAACTAATTATCTTGGTATTATGAATGATAAGCACTTCGAAAGGAACTCACATATAGATTATCTAGTAAAAAACTACGATGTATTCTATATAGATTCAGGAAAATAGCAGACATATTTGAAACCAGACAGTTCAAAATTCTTTACCAAAGTTTGATAGAATCACACCTAAAATATGGAATAGTCAGATGGGGGAGGAGTTTCTAAAACATATTTAAAGCCACTTGAAGTAACGCAAAAACGATTCCTAAGAATGATACTCTTCAAAAAGAACAGATACGCGAGTGATGCTCTCTATGAAGAGTCTGAGATTTTTGATAGCAGACAAATATTTTTCAACCACATCGCTACAACTCAGTTCTTCAATTAGACAGAACTCATTAAATCTTCTCATACCTACACTACGTGAAGACAAAAAAAATGATTATTTATTATCTTTCGCTTCGAAACCACTAGACCAAAAATGCTATCAATATTTAGCACCAAAAGTATTTAATCTCCTTCACGAAAAACTGCAAAACGAAACGTCAGCAGTCAGAATCAGAAAAGATTCAAAACTATTCATAAAACAATCGCCTCGTCATTATATACGATCAATAATTGAAAATTGAAAGTAATTTAAGATATTCATAATGTTATCCTAAGAGCACGTAGTACCTGTATATCGGTACATTCGAGTATTTTTTAAATTTCAAACTCCTCAAAATTCAAATAAGCAATTCAAAACTTCAAATAAAAAATCAACCATTTGAACTTACTTATGATAAAACAACCTCGCGATTGCCATCCTCTGCTTCTCACCCCCTGACAAAATATCAGTCCAGTCTTTAACTTCATGGAAAGTGTCTCTATCCACAATGTGATCTAAATGGACCATTTGCATTATTCTCCTCAAGTCTTCTTCGGTAATTTGTTTATTGATCATGTCGGCGTAAGTATCTGGGTAAATAACTTGATCCCTCAAATTTCCTGAAAGTAAAATACGAAGTGAATAATTGAGAAGGTTGGATACTATTTCAGTCAAGAAATTTAAAAATAAATCTCAAGATAAATAAAAATACCACACATGTATAACAAATTTCATTGGAATATTTACCAAATATCAAAGAAAGGATTCCTTTCCCATCATCACATTCATTTCATTTACGAAATTATTCATTAATTTATGATACTCGTGATGGAAACTTCTAATGATTTATGGAACCATTATGTTTTTTTATGATTGCACGTCATGGCGAACTTCTTATATATTCTTGTGGTAAACAATTATTGTTATTTGGATGCATTATCTAAATTGATAGAGATGTCACACAATACCAACTGATCATAATAAATGGAAAAATGGTCAGTCTAACAACACGTTTCTTATTTTGATGAAAATTAGTCTAACTTTTTTTTCGGTTTTTTAGCAACTCTATACGATACAAAATATCGCGAGAAGAGTATTTAACGAATCATTTGAAATAATTTACATACAAATGAGAATGTCTTTTTCATACCTCAAATTGATTATTTATTCGAATAGAATGGTTTTTCTTACGTAAGAAACCTTCAAAAAATATATCCAAGATACAAGCTTCTGTAAACCGTATAAATATTTACAATTTACTAAAGTGTATCCTTGAAATGAATTTCTTTGAATATTCACCAGTACGAAAAAACTGAACTACTTTCCAGCGTGTCGAAAACACAAACGAATGTCAGAGATTGATAAACAGTATCAGTTTCAGGCTGAACTAAACAAAAAGTTTTCATTTTTCAAAAAGAAATATTCATAGCGAACACTATCTAAAAAGCTAATTCAATATGATCAAATGAAATGATTCACATTCTCCAATAGCAATTTCTGTGCACCTGATTTCTATCTAAATTTCAAATAACATTTGGATACATAACCGGTGCTCTCGATATTGCTTGGGATCGTAAATTGAAAGCAAGATCCTCATCTTCTCTCGAGTATCAAATAAACCCCAAAGTGGTTTCTCCCTAGTAAAGTATCTGGTTGTGAAATAACTCAAAAGTACAAATTTGTGACTCATCACCTAGTGCGTTTGATTTGCCCATATATCAATAAATGTATAAACTTTCGAAATTATCTTAATTTACATCATTTCAACCATTTTTTTTATTCTTTATCTCTTTTAGAAACTTACACTCAGCTTTTATGAAGAAAGATGATGAAGGAAAGTACTCATGTATGTGACTAATAAAACTTCATCTGTTATATAGATTAACGAGCGATTTCAGGGCATGGTCACCTCACGTGGAGATGATATGAACTGGCCACCGAGATCGTGCGATTTGATCCCGTAAGATTTTTTCTTGTGGGGTTTTCTCAAGTTGCAGTTGTATGCAAATAAGCCACAAACCACAGCGGTTCTGAAAGCCAATTATTGTAAGGAACGCAATATCAAACTTCGTCTGTAATTTTCCGTCTATCAAGAGTGATACAAATTAGTATTAGACTATAATTATCATGCAAAATAGCAGATATTTCAAGGTCAAATTCATGCCAACTTACTTGTGTCGCATATATATGATGAATGAACGGATTTTTCATTAGTCATATTCTATTGTTTGCAAATATTGCGAAATTATCATTCATAACTTCAATACTACTTTTACATAACAGGTTCATTATTTCCATTATTTAGTTGTCACTTTCATTTCTAAATATTATGCCAAAACATATCATTACGACTAAAAACTTACCAATAACCATGTATGGCCTCTGAGGAATATAAAACATAGAATTTTTGGGAGAATGCAATTCTCCACCGTAGATAGGCCAAAGACCGCTCAGTATCCTAAATAAGCTAGATTTTCCACAACCATTTGGTCCAGTTATGAGGAGATGCTGTCCAGGTTCTAGGTTGATACTTAAAGAAGGACAAACGATATCGCAGTTTGGAGTTACGATTGGAATATTCTTCAAAATTATCTCGTTTTTGGACGATACAAAAACTTTACCTGAAACAATGAAAACTAATACACTGTTTTGATGAAACGGTATACGTTTTCAATTCAGAAGGGATAATTGGAAACAAAACAAGGTACATTTTTCATGTTCATCGACCCTTTTTGAAAAATCAGTCTGACTTATTGTTTTTAAGTTCAACCCGCATGTCTGGTCTAAACTATAACGTTTTAGAGTAGTATACTTTCTGTGATGATTGCAGTTGTTTTAAATATAACGTGTCAAACTGTGAAGATTTTCCTTCTCATTGCTGTTTCAAATTATATGTAACTATGTTGAACCTACAAGGCATTCCAACGAAAACTTAACCCCTCTGTAAGTCAGAAACGGACATATAATCGAAAAATTCCAAAGAACGCGTCAAACTTTATATCTAGGAGGACTAACTCTGATATGGAAATCATACCCGAAACTTCACCTCCCTGCGGTCATCAATTACCCCTCCCCCTATTTTTTTTTTCAATGGCATGGTGATACATCATTTGAAAGCTCTTTTATCCCTCTATCGCCTCTGCAATGTTTTTCTAAATTGGTTCATTTTTAATTGAGAAGTTACGTTTTATTTAAGAAAAAACAGAAAATTAGCTGTCGTTCATTTTAATGAGGAAATCAACAACAAATAATATCAGTGTAAACAAAATCAACGAATAAATTGTTCAAAATGACCTCCATCTAGTTCCGTACAATAATACAGTCTACTCTCGAAAGCGCTCCGTACATTATTCAAGATGTCCGGAGTCAGCAATCGGCATTCCCGAACAATTCTATGTTACAGGTCTTCTAGATTTGTAGGCTTAGTGGAGTACACTTTCGACTTCAGGTGTCCCCACAGAAATAAGTCCATCGGTGTGAGAGCAAGTGATCTAGCTGGCCACTCCACTTGACCTCTTCCGCCGATCCAACGCATTGGAAAACGTTCGTCCAAAAACTGTCTCACCTGTATATCAAAATGTGGGGGTGCACCACCTGCTGGAATGTTATCTCATTTTCTACTAAATTGTCCCATTTTTTAAAATTTGTGTAATCATATTATCTACACAGTCTTGTAATAGATTTAATTATGTGTCTCCATTGAGATTACCTTCAATGAAGAATGGTCAAACAATATGATTACCAAGAATGCTGGCCCAAACATTGAATTTTTGTGAAGTTTGTGAATGTGTTTCCATCACCAAATAAGGATTCACATCGCTCCAGTAACGACAATTATGTCTTTTCACTTCACGATTCAACATTCACGAATTTTCGTCTGAAAAACATGTATTGTATAACAGGTTTCACAAAACTGAAGTCGACGATCAAGATCATTTCCGTTTAACTCCTGAACTTCATTTTGAAAAGATGGAATTTGTAGTAGCTGATACACCAGACGCTCTAGCTACTTGTCTGATAGATTGTCGATTATCCATTTGTAAATGGATTTCTGACAGGACGAGATATTTCATGTTTTCTGTTGTGAACAGAACCTGAAGTTCGAAACTTATTCATTAACTGTTTAACGTATTGATGGCTCACGCAGCAGCTTTAGAACATTCATTATTTCGATAATAAGTTGCAAAAATTTCTATTCTTTCTTCAGTAGAATAAACCATGTTGAAACACAGTGAACAAGGATGACAGAATGATATAATTCGTGTTGTTCTGCGACAACTGGATTCCACAAAAACTACCAGTGCAGAAAAAACTAACGGCTTGGCCACGGGGATCGGCGGTACGAACGACGAAGCGGGGAGCGAGGCGACTATTCGCGCGACACCGTTTGCAGGCCACGGGCAGTCACGTTCGCCGTCGCGACCAATAGTCCGATGTCTTTATCGAAATTATCTCGATATTGCTTGAAAAGTGATAGTTTTTTGGTTCAAGACCTAATATTTGGAAGAGATTGTGGAGTACATGATTTGAATAAGAGTCGGGGTATAGATGGAGAATTCCACAAGAAGTACGAGAAATACAGATTATATCCAGAAACATTTTTTGAGTACACCAGAATTAGTATTGGAACTTTCGATACTATTCTTATGAATATTCAACCAGAATTGGAGAAAATAATTAATGCAAATAGAATTTTAAGTGCCGCTGAAAAATTGTTTTTGACATTAAGGTATGTACGTACCTATTTATACATATGCATCTATATTAATCTACATTACGTATTCATTTATATACCTATGCATAGAGGTAATATTCAATTAGCTGATCATATTTTGGAGAATTACCTATAGTATCCATCAATATGAACAACTTTTTCCAAGAAAGTAATGGTCGCAAACGAATTTTTTTATAACTAAATTTATTTGGAACTATATTTGTCCAAAATATTATCAGCTAATTAAATGTTACCCTGTATATTAAAATTTCATGAAATAAAATCACTTTCAGATAATTATGTTATTTATTGCAAAAATATAAATTATATATGACAATAATTTTTCGTACAACTGAAACAAAAAACAACTTCTAACTTGTAATTGACGGTAGAATGAATAATGAATTTCTAACTTTTTAATCAGTCTTCCAAATAGCTGGTCTAGCTAGTATTTCAGCAATAAAAGTCTCGGTGTTCATTTTTCGCGGCGAAAACAACTAAACTCGTTTGATCACCGCACTATTCGCCGCGACTACCACTCGACTCCGTGGCTTGCGCCGTACTGATTCATGTCTTTGTTTTACTCGCCCGTCGCGCCGCAATTCGCCTACGCGGTTCGCTTGGTACATTTCGCCGGTCGCTTCACCGGTCGCCGTTGCGCGTGGCTTCATAAGTACATTGCTATGCGTTTGTTTCAGTCGCTTGACGCTTCGCCGTTCGCACCGCGCGAATATTCGCATCGACGAGTGTCCCGTGGCCAGGCTGTAACAGTGTCGTCCTTTTCAAAATATTACTAATTAAATAAATTCTACAAATCTAGAAGAACTGCGACAGAGAATTGTTCGGGAATGCTGATTGCTGACTCCGGACATCTTGAATAATGTACGGAACGCTTACGAGAGTAGACTGGAGAGTAGTATGGAACTAGATGGAGGTCATTTTGAACACTTTATCCGTTGACTGCGTTGCCAATGATATTACTTTTGTTGATTTCCTCAATAAAACGAGCGACAGCGAGTTTTCTGTTTTTTCTTATGTAGAACGTTCAACATTCAATTTCTTAGTAACGAATGGACCAATAACGAAAAAAATACAGAAGTAATAGAGAGACAAAAGAGCTTTCAAATGATGTATCACTCGACCCCCCATGCCATTGAAAAAAATAGGGGGGTAGTTGTTAACAGCAGGGAGGTGATTTCCATATCAGAATTAGTCCCCCTAGAAATAAAAATTGTCCAGTTCTTTGAAATAGGGTCAAATTTTCGTTGGAACGCCCTGTATATTTATATACATTATTGCGAATGGAACATTACGGCCCTGTTTATCCAAAAACAGATTACACGTTTATATATCGTATTTATTTGGGATAGTTCTCTAAATGCTCACTGAATTTATTTCCCGGTGATTCAGATATGATATAAAGGGCTATTCAATATAATCGGTTAAATTTCTTCTTTTTTCGGGTACTGCAAGTGACACCAAAAACCAAAAAGGTGATATCAGCTCTTGGTTCTGGAAATATATGGGTGAACTAAAATTTGTAGTTTTCGGTGATCTTGTTTATTTGCAGAGATATTGAAAAACTGTTCACGCTACGTTATGTCCAGTCTTCATTTCGGCTCCCCCGTTATTCAATCGAGAGTCAATTAATAATAAAAAAAGTGGTAATGATCTCAAATCGTAAATACCTGCATATTCAAGAAACCATTAATTGAAGTTCCGATTAGTTCCTAGTTTCAAAGATACTGGAGTAATCATCTTAGAGGTTTCGGCTTTCACTGGTATGTTTCATTCTGGTGAATTTTACGAATAACATTCAAAATTTCTCAGGAACTTCGTGTAAATTTCAAATTAGGAAAAAATCAAATCTATTCACAGAAAGAAATCAACAGTGGCTTATCTTTCTTAGGGTATACGAAGGTATTAGGGAACCTTCTCAGAATAAAATCAAAACGTACATTGCATTCAAAACAACTCCATGAATACAACATTTTATATATAATCTGTTTCATAACAATATTGATTTGCGTATCTCTTATCAAAAATCCCTTTCTATGTTCTTTGCCATAACAATTTATATGAAATGACGTTCTACTTAGATTACAATTTGCCATTCCTGTAATATCAATAATTCATCTCTCAATTATATTCATCGCTGCTTTATATCTAACGAGATCCATTGAAGTATTATTTTTTCTTCTAAAATCAGTTTTCAAACATTTCCTTTAAGTAGGGTCATTATTATTATCATTATTTTGCAAAAAAATGTTTTTGCAGGATGGTGAACAAGATACCTTACAAACCTGGCAAAGATTTCTACACTAAATACTTTCGTGTTTGCTTTTGAAGTTTCGTCAAGTCATTGACATGAGATTTTATTAACGAGTTTCTGCAATTTATTGAGTTATTTGAGATTGTAATTATAAATCTATTGTACAACATAATTTTATATCCTATAAATTGTTTCTAGCTCACCCTTCGCAATTGGTTGATTTCCCTTGAATTCGATTTCGAAGTCACCAGTCTTCTCCTTTTTAACTACTGAAGTCTTCTGATAAATTCCCTGGCTGGCCTCTTCTAGGACTGAAAACATACTAGCTACTCTAGCGGTATGACCAGCCAACTCGACGATGTCTTTATAACTGCTCATGAGTCGCTCGACAGCGTTAGATCCCGTCATCAACAGATTTTTGGCAGTAGTGAAGTAATGAGTTCGTTCCGAAACGTTGTCATCCAGAATTTCTACAGCGCTGTCATTGGATTCTGAAGAAACATCGTCGCCTTTAGCAGAGGTGATAGCGGGTAGAGAAAGCAAATTTCCCTTTTTCGGTACTCTGCGGGTATTTCCAGCAGCCAAGAGAATTGGAAGTGATACTACTATCATACCTGCAAGAAAAAAAGGTCATGTTCATGAAACCTATGCTTTTCAATCTCTATTCAAATGATGTATTTCAACCGAGTAGTGTTGGCGAAACTATTGGATACACAGACGATACCGCAATATTTTATGAAGCAGAAACATGGGATTTGTTGACAACAAAGGTTGAGAATTATATTAGACGTGTTGAAAAATCTTTTGAAGTTTCTAACCATTGATTTAAAGAAAAAATATAATTTCAAAGTTATTCAGCTGATACCTGCCCATTTGAGACTTTCAAAGTCAAGCAACAAATGAAATGAAGTATTTAGGTGTTAACACCTGAAATGGGAAACACACATAAAATATACAATAAGAAAGGTGCATACTCCAAAAAATCTGAAGCAACTCTATTTCGCACTCGATACCTAGAAATTCTTCAAAGACGACTTTTCAGACTGATTGTGTTTGAACATTCTAGGTACCCTTCCAATTTCGTTTATAAAGAAGGTCAAATCATATAATACTTGGACAAGTTCATTTTTTTGATGTTGATATAAAATATCATTCCACTTGTAACAAGGTAATTCCTTGTGAGCACAATCATAAAACAATAAATAGGCGACTTCTGATGTATTCCACCATCCTGAAGAAGTTATATTATATAACGTAATTTCAAGATGTTTGAAAAAAATGTCTTGAACACTATTATTTAAAAAAAAAGAAGAATTCAGTATTGAAAAACATAGATCATAATTTGTAAATCTAATAGATTCAAGTTTCATAATTTAGAACCAAATTCCAGTGAAAATGATGTGATAAATATGTTCTGTTTTTATCATTATGAAACGTTTGATTCAAAAAATCTCGGGTGATATACCTAAGTATTTAGGTTTTTTATGTGTGTTCTACAAGAAATGAGTTATCATAAAGAGTGTAGGTACCCTACATATACAGTGTGTCACAACTAAAACTTGTCACCCACTGATTTAAAATCGCTCAGACCAGTCGATTTTTATTACAAGGGGGAACACTTTCACATCATCATTGTGTTGTCAATCCCCTCATCCCCTACTTCAGAAGTTTCAATGGAACTACTATACTTGCGATATATCATTTTGAAGGAAATTCAATCCCTAATACATCGGTGTACATGAAAAAAAATTGTCGCCATGTGTTTTTGTATACGCATATCTCTGTTTAAGCCTTGGTATATTGATGTATTCGATTCACTTCATTCAACAATTTTATAACTTTCGGAAATGGTTTATACTATACAAGAGCTGTAGTATTGTAGCTGCATATTTTGAAAATGGACGATGTGCTAGAGCTACGGCTCGAATTTTGAATGAAATTCATCCAGAAAAAACCACATCATTTCAGTATGTGATTCAATTGATGGATAAGTTCATGGAGTCGAAATCAGTTCTGATTAAAAACATGAACGAGAGAAGCCTATGAGAAATGAAGGGGTCGCTATTGCAGTTGCAGGACATGTAGTGATGAACAACATTCAATCTTGAAGACAACTTTAGTCTATTTCTGGAGCATACATCAAACTATGAAAGAAGTAAAATTCCATCCTTATAAAATACAGAATGTACAAGAATTTAATGGAGATGATCCTGACAGAAGTACAGAGTTTTGTGAAATCATAAGTCAATTATTGATTGGTGATAATAATTACCTCAACAATGTGTGCTTTTCTGACGATTTTTTTATTTATATGGGCATGTGAACAGGCACAACTGCAGATACTGGAGTGGCATAAATCCCCATTGGTACAGGGAAACTCATTCACAAACTCCCCAGAAGTTGGATGTTTGGTCTGGTATCCTAGGAGAAATTATTGTAGGTCCATATTTCATGGAGAGTAATCTCAACGGAAAAACGTATATTGAATTTCTTGATACAACTGTGAACCCCAGAATCACTCAGTTACTTGAAGACGATGATAGTCTACTGGAAGGTCTGCTCATCTTTCAACAAGATGAAACTCTTTCATATTTTGTTGTACCTGTACGTCAATACGTCAATTTTTCGATGACAATTTCACAGGAAGATGAATTGGAAGGCGAGGACCAATAGAATGGCCGGCTGGATCTCCTGATTTATCACCATTAAACTTCTTTTTATGGGGTCATTTGAAATGACCCCATATTATAGGAACGAACCTCATCATCAACAGCCAAGTGTATACCTACGAAGAAGTCACAAACAAAACAAACCGGTCTGAAACCGTGACTACAGGCAATAGTGGAATAGAGAAGAATAACACCTTCATTTCCCCAAACAGCTCCGAAGAAACCGATAGAACGTCCAAGACAGAGAAACAACGAGATCTGGACACCAACACAGAATTTATCAACAAAATCGCAAACAGGCAACAAAAGGAAAATCATCTCAAGAACAAGTGAACCTACTTCTTTTGTGTATTTGGTATCAAATAAGTTCAACTCTTTTTTATGTTTGCTTCATCTTATCTTAAAACTTTTGTTGAATGTATCTACCCCCAGTCAAATTCAAACATCTATCTGGGACACTTGAACGTGAGGTATTTAATGGCACACTTTAATATAATAAAAGATTTCATATTGCAACAACAGTTCGAAATTCTTGTTGTTACCGAAACATGGCTTAATGACAACATATCAGTCTGGCGGACTGATGTTATTAAGATCATGATGAAAAAAAGGGACAAAGCATATAGCAAATACAAACAATTCAAATCCCCAGCCGATTGAAACTATTATAAGACATTGAGAAATTTCACAAAACAGTCAATAATACGTGAGAAAAAAGCATACCTTGACTAAGTGTCAATCAAAACAGTCCCAAGACCCTGTGGAAGGCCCTGCGGCAATTGACTATTCATCAAAAACCTGACATAATATTACCAGATGATTCGATAGATGTCAATGCAATAAATAAGCACTCAACAACTATTCCTAACGTTGTTAAAACCAAAGGTCATACAGACTTACTCAATAAATATGAGCAAGATTCATATAATCAGAAAAGCACTTTTGTGTTTAGTACTATGGAAAACGTGGAAGTGCTCAAATGTATAAACTCAATAAAAAGTAACGCAGTGGGTTCCGATTAAGTGACCTTGAAAATGCTCAATTTTATCTCTAATTTTCTTATCAATTATATAATATACATATACAATTATTGCATGAATAACTCAACATTTCCTACGGCTTGGAAATTGTCACTTATGATCCCCTTAGTAAAAATAACGAATCCTACCAATATCAACCATTTAGACCAATCAGTCTTCTACCAGTTCTACCTAAAGTATTTGAAAAAAAAATATAGAATCAAATCAATGAATACGTAATGAAACATAACATTATACCACCGACTCAGTCTGTCTTCAGGGGAGGATTTAGCACCACCACAGCTCTAACAAATATTGATGATATTTTTAGGGCAACTAATGAAGGAACTGTTACTTGTCTGATCCTGCTGGATTACAGCTAGGCATTTGATACTGTTAGAGGTTTTCATTAGAAAATTGAAATTCTTTGGATTCCACCCTGATTCAGTGAAACTATTGGAATATCACCTGGAGGGAAGAACGCAGAGAGTGGTTCATGACCTTGAATCCTCAGAAACCCTTGCTTTGAGCCATGGCGTTCCTCAAGGATCAATATTGGGACCACTGTTATTCTTTCTGTACATCTCAGATTTTCATTCATTCGTCAAATACTGCCACATACGCCACTACGCGGATGATACCCAGCTGTACTTATCTTTCAATGAAGTGAAACCTGATGTTACCGCTGCTTCAAATTCGGATCTGAATTCCTCGATAAGTAAATCTGCAGCACATAATCTACAGTTGAACGCGAGGAAGTCTAGTGCATTGTTTATCGGACCGAAGCTCAAACGTAATCTAGCCAGTACCTCAATCGACATTGTTTTGGGTGGGGAAAAATTCTCATAAAAAATGAAACAGAAAACCTCTGACTCTGGATAGACAATGAATTGAGGTTCACAAAACATGTCCATCAACTTTGCCGAGGTTCATATAATACACTCAAACAACTTTATCCAAGTAGACAATTCATGAGTTCCGCTCTGAAAATTCGTGTTTGTGAATTCCTCATATTATGGAAACTGACTGTGACTACATTTATGGACCCACACTTCTGAGTGTTGACAGTAGTCGACTTCAAAGATACAGAACTCTTCTATTAGATTTTTCTTCGGAATACGCAAATATGAGCACGTAAGTCATAAATATCGAAAAATGCGAAAACTGAAATTGCTAGATATGAGAAAATGACATTTATTAAATATTACTCATAAAGGACTGAAATATAGGACACCATCATATTTATATGACAAACTAATGAAAATAAGGAATCTGAGTGATTATTTAACACTCGTAACTCGGGGTAACTGGCAATGTACAAACATAAAACCTCAATTTTTCAGCGATCCTTCGCGTACAATGCCTGTAAGTTCTATAATCAACTTCCGCATGATTACAGCACATATACTCTGATGAACTTCAAAAAAAATTGTATTCCCTATTATTAGCTCAATATGATTAACAAATGTCGAACTCTGCATCTGCAGAACGGATAATGACCAGACAATCACTTTACAAATGTATTGTACTAATTAATTTAATAAATCTCAGACAGCAAAATTATTCTACAATGTAATAGAATTATACTCATCGTAGATATTATAGCTAAGATAATTAAGAAAATTGTAAATTAATATTGTATTACCATAGTTAACTTGAAAAATACCCTCGGGTGACACTTCGTCACTTTATCTTTGTTGAATACCTATTATTGTTATATATTCACATGTGTGCTCAAAGATGAATAAAGACGATTTATTATTATTATTATATTACACAGCCAAATTTTCTTTGTAATCTACGCAGGGGAATTGTTGTGGAGTGTCGTGCAATGACTCCGGAAATGCTGAGAAATGTGCAAAAACATTTCTAAAATCGCTTTTACATCTGTATAGAACTGAATGGTTCACATTTCGAACCTTTCATACGATGATTAAATTTTAGGCGATGAAAAATAAAAATACCTTAATAAAACAGTTTTCATTAAAACTTCAACAAAACTTGATAGATCCTCAACTTCAGTATACCGATGTATTTGGGATTGAATTCCCTTCAAAATGATGTATCATAAGTACAGTAGTCCCATTGAAAATTTTGAAGTAGGATTTGCTGGGGATGACGGGGTTGACAACACAATGGTGTTGTATTTGGTGAAAGTGTTTCCCTGAGCGATTTTCAATTTTTTTCACGAGTTCATAGATTAGGAGGATGACAACTTTTTGCTGGGACACACTGTATGTATATATGAGTGGATATTAAGAATACAAATGAATATTGTGTATGTGTATATGAGTTTCTTTGTATGTGACAACGTATTTTTCAATTGTTATTGTCATTACTTGTCATCTTTTAAAATGTTATAATAATAGTTTCAAATTATTTTATATATATTTTTACACGAAACAAGTGCAACTGCACTTCAAATAATTGTCATGTCCTGAACTTTGCTTACGTGGGTAGTCCCAGAGGTATCCGGCCCAACAAATAAAAATCAAAATTTTTGGAAAATGATTTCCTTGCAGTTGTATACACTTTCCCTAGCGACATCCAATAAGTTCAATAACGTTTTTATAATAAGAACTGTCTTTCTTCTCAAAATAGCGGTTAACTACCGACATCATTTGAGTTGGAAAATCTTTGACCACTGAATAGGATGCATGAGATAGAAACTCAAACTTCAATTCACTAATTTTGGTTATTGCGATAATGGATTTGTGAACTGGTGCATTGTCTTGATAAAACAATACTTTTTTCTTATCCACTTCTTACCCATATCTCCGCTCAAACGTTGCAATAAATTCGCATTATATGCGCCGTTGATAGTTTTATCTTTTATAAGATAGTCAATGAAAATTATCCCACATGCATTCCAAGAAACCGATTCCATGACCTTGCCTGCAGATTAATCGGTCTTCGTCTCATTTAGAGCCGGTTCTCCACTGTTTTGCTGTGAAACTTAGCTAAACACTCAATTGAACCATCTTCACGACACTGTTTTTGTTCGAGTGTGAGCAAACAGATAATATACGATATACCGCACTTTTTGAAATGCCTTCTAAGTATGCTGGCTCGCGCACTTCCAGTCGACAATCATTCAGTACCACTTCATGGATTTTCTTCACGATTTATATTAGTAGACTTTCAAATAAAAGTATTGTACCACAAAACGATGACCAATTTTCTCCATTTTCAGAAATTCACCGAAAGTGTTCGCTATTGATGGTTGCCAAACAAATACTAAACAACCCAGCGTCTTCAAACTTGAAACATATGCTTTATAGGTTGTGTACTTTCTAATATAGGCCGGATACTTCTGGGATCACCCTGGTATTGTATTTTATTCAGGTGAATTGAAGTTATTATTATTTTCAGCTCTCATATAATCAACATAGCAATGGCAACATTCATACAGTGTGGAATTACCTAATAGAATAAATTTGACATACGTCAATTTTAGGTTTTAAAATTACTTCCTTCTGTGAAAAAAAGATTAATCCCAAATGTAGACACCCTTACAGTTGCTACCTCTATATTTTTAATTGGACAGTGTAAGCTTGTCATTGGAAGATAATTTCATATTCAAATATTTTTCGATTCAATACAAAAATTACCATAAAATAAATGAAATTAGTTGATTGGCAAAATTTGCTCAATAGGTTGTACCGTTCGATTCAGGATAGTAATAATATCTAATAACGATTCAAGAAACATACATACATGTTTGGAGTACCGAAAAAAGAATTATTCAAAACTGAAACCTAACCAAGTAAAAACAAAACAAAATCAGAACTCAAACTGAAAAAAATGAGATGATTGAATATACTTTGAGAGTCTGATTATAATTGAAAAAATCAGCAATAATGTATAATCAAAGAATCAGTTATCATGTTATCATATTTATTATTATGTTTAATCAGTAAAATATATAAACAATCATCTACCCTATATATGATGACCTTTTTTAAATGACCCTGGTCTCGAAATTTCAATGACATTCAAGAATTTACAAACTCGTTTTTGTGTTAGGATCTTAAATGTACGAAAAGCCATCAATGTGACAATAAAATGTTTTTGTTTGTTATGGAAACAAAAATAATATATTGAAAGAATTAAGTCCAGTTGATTAGGTTCCCAAATGTGTTAATTTCAATTAAATTCAATTTATAAACATTGCCATTCAAGCATGTAGGAAGATCTAACTAAATTTTGAAATGACCAGAAGCAAGTTAGAAAATGGAGCGCGTAAATGTACGGTTATGATAATTCTCACATCTCTTCTTAGATTTGACAAGCTATGTACATTTATAAATACTGTATAAAATACTGATTGAATATTTTTCTTCTTTCAATTGTATTGCTTTGAGTTGAGTTCCTTCAATATAAATCACAAATCCGTGTTAAATCTTTAGGAGTCGTATGATACCCCTCAGAAATATATTTCTCATAGTCTCATGGTGCACGTAAAAATTAACCCAAAATTAACCCAAATTAACAATAACCCAAGTCGGATGATAACTTGTCAAAATGCCTTGAAAAGGTTCTTACAAATTCACGTAAAAATCAGGACTGAAATGTTTCTCAGCCAAAAGCCGTTAAAAAAATGGGACAGGAAAATAGGAAAAAAATATTCATTTTCAGGAATGATTTCTACATACTACATAAATTCTGGTACGGTTTCTGTAAAATCAAGTTTTCATATCGAAAAGAATAATTTATGTTGTCATGCCATTCGAAGAAGTTGATTCAAGGGACGATAAATCCAAAGATTAACCTCCACACTACACATATATACCTTCCGTTTACCGATCATGAAGGAAGTCATTTATGCGGCATGACAAAATAAACTGATATAAAAATCCACCAAAGCCCCGTAGAGAAATTCATTATCTTTGCATATAAAGAGGTCACTTTTCCCAAAATGTAAAATTTTCCTATTTTCCTGACATTTCTTATAGCTGCGTTCGATTAGGAAACATCCCAATGGTAATTGTTTCAACTGGAACTGTTTCAACTGTTTCAGTTGATACGTCAAGAAGAGTAAATAGGGGGAGGGTCCCACAAAATATCTTATAAGGGGATAAAAGTCTATATTGTGAAGATTTGTAATTATTATCATGAATACTGTTATCGATTTTTACCAAGTAACGGGTCAGTGTATTCAAAAAATAAAGCAAAACTATATATTGGCTATTCGGGGAGAATCTTGAATGTAAAGACCAATTCCACATTTACAACCACGACTGTGATGTTTTATATTTTTAATTTTTTTATATCTGAACTCTGATGAAATTATTATTCATCAAATAGGTAGAAGGCCCTTGATTGAAATTGTTATGTTATATAAAACACTAATCAAGTAGAATTCAGCCAGTATAAAGATGAATGGGGATGCTGTTGTGTATTTAAACACGTGTTGATTTTGTAAACTGTTCAGCGATTATCTCACAATAAAGTGTTACTTGAATACGTTATAGATTTCATAAAGTATCGGTCATAATAATAAGAGAAAATAAACAAATTTTCATTACCTGTTCCTGACCAAACGTACTTCATTAAAAATTGTTCCAGCATAACAAACCACAACTTCACGCCATACATATGTTCCAAATGTTCAACAAGAAACCTGTACGCTTGCCTCAGGTGACTCTGTTCTACCTTATGACCTCCGTAGAAAGCAATTTCTTCTGAATTGCTGACAATTCTTCCGTGGACGTGTCTGAGGTACCCTTTTTTCTCAGCTTCCTGCGCCACCAGTTGACCGAACTTTGGTGACACTAGCCTCAGAATTAGGGCTGATATCACTACCACACCAGAAATTATCACTGGACCAATGAGAAGGTTCGAATTTCGTGATTTGACCAAATTTGCTAAAGCGATGGCCATGAGAAGAATGTCGAAACACGGTTTCGTTATTTGGCCGTACAGATGAGAAACAGTACTTGCCACAGTTTCTATGTCGTCTGTGAGCCTCTGTGAACAATTGTCCAGTCTTCCGTCTAGAACGGTCACCCTGTAGTAACTTTGATTGTTGAAGTATAGTCGGTAAGAATGGTCTACGAGGCGAGTTCGGAAACTAAGTGCTATTCTACTTTCTAGGTATCTGAAACAAAGAGAGTGTTTAATGCCAAAAATGAAAAGAATTCGTTTTTTTCTGAATAATATTGAACCTGATTAACGAGAACACCAAAAAATAGAAGAAAATTATTACACTTGTTGAATACCAATGAAAAAAGTATATTCACTAACTTGAAGAATTCATACTGAGCTATTGAAAATATTAATTAACTTGTTTTTTTTTAATATTTGAAGTGCTTAAACATTGGAACATAAACATAAAACGAAGGTTATGATATTACTAATCAGTTTTAAATAGTTTCAGATGTTCCTAATTTTAAAGGAGTGAAAACATTCATACTTTAGAAATAATAAATCCAGTTGTCTAAAAACATGACATTATCATTTTTTATATATTTTAATCATTTCCTGCATTTCATTCTTCTGACTACTATGTTTGGTCCATATGCAGATACACATCAGGTGCATTAGATTAAAATTTAATTCCACAGGTAAACTATAAGTATGAATTAAAATATCATATTGCAGAACATGAAATTAATTGGCTTTTATATGAAGGAAGTTATGTCATTATCTGGTATTCTATTGGTATATTATTGAAAATTCCATTGGTAAATAAACTTAAATATGAAAACTAATGCACTAACTTATGGAACTTATGGGTTTGTAATGATTACTTTCTTCAATGCCGACAAACTGTGAAAAAGCTGAAGATAGCTTTTACACAGTTTCGCAACGATTAAATGCGCTATAACTGTTTAAAAGGGAACGAAATTGGTGTTCACTGTAAGCATTAATATTTGTTTAATAAGACTGATTTCATGGTGACATAACGTAACAGTTTCAAAATATATTGCTCGAAGGTAAACTTAAAATGTTTGCATACCAAATAAAGAATCTCTTATTACTACCAATTTCAATACGAGATTATGGATTACCAAATAAACTATTTTTATCTTGAACCCCCAAACTTTCCACTGCTGTATTTTTTTTTAATCCGAATTCTTCGAAATGAGCATCAGTTTATGTACCATAGAAATATCGAAGATGGCTGAAATATCCCGACTAATACACAAAAGAAAATACAGAGATCATTGTTGCATGCTAGTTATTTGCATTGCAGTAAATTAAATTTCTATGTGAACAGATGAAAACAAAAGTTATACAAGTCAAACAGCGAAAGTCCAGGCAAAGCACCCGACACAACAAAATTCATGAACTCTTAGAGTTCCATTATACAGCTTCCACAGAAAAGCCTTAGTTTGTCGCACTAGTTCTTGTGATTCTCCTGTTTCTGTAGTCCAAAAGTACCTCAAGTAAGGCAAACTGCACTCATCTATAGCTTTGAAGAGCTCAGCAGTAATTGATAGTAGTGGCGTGGTGGTACTATGATGAGGTATGAATCCTGATTGAACAAATTTTATAATGTAACTCTTCTTGTTACACCAATTCTATTATTTCAGAGAGACAAGTCAGAATGGTAATAGGTCTGAAGTCAGAGCGCAATCTATAAATGAATTACATTTGGCCATAGCGGTAATCACTTCATTCTTCCAAAAATTATGAAATTTTTAGCTAGTAATGATAGCTGGGATGACTCAGGAAAAAAGAGTATATGATTATAATGAATATCAATGTAGTATTGCTCTTGCTTTTCATATATGTGTCATTTTAGAGCTTTCATTCAGGCTTGTTATATATTTACACAAATTATTCACTATCTCGACTTTTTCTGCTCGCATTGAAAAACTAGTGAATCATTTATCAACGTTTTCAGCGAATTGCTCAAGGTACTATTTGCAATGCAGAATATGATTGTCTTTATTCATACGAAGCATTTAAATAATTCATATAAATGATTTGATTGCAATAACATGTTTCTATTCTTTATCTGGTTCAACACGGTGAACTTTGAACTCTAAAGTGCATATAAGCAAGCCGTTTGTTAAGAGCGTGTCTTAAGAAACTCGACCTCAAAAATTTCTTCGGGAATAATGCCTTTATATGCCTGATGAAGATAATAACTATGAGCTTTTCTGATATTTTACTTCTAATTAGGACATCTGCATGGGTCTAAAGAAATTAACTTTAAACGTTCAATAAGAAAAAACATCTGCATGGGCTTGCTATTTTATCTACCTGCTAAAACTGAGAATTGAAATGCGTCGAGAGAAGACATATCAAACAATCCGAGGAATAAACTTCACAAAAGAAAAATGGCGTATTTAAAATATATTTATGAGGACCAAAGAAATTTATGGAATATGGGAAGCACCAGTATCCAAATATACGAAATAGTTACTTAAAAGTGAAGGGACAATAATATAAATATAATACAAATTTAAAATGAATGAAAATTGAAGATAAATAATGATAAAATTGAAAAAAAAATTGATTTCAGATTTCGATCACATTATTATCTACATAAGTGAGTGGTCTGATCTATTCCTGATACTTCGAGACTATTTATAGCTAAATTTTCCTCCTAACCTCTTCCCTACAATAATATAAACAATAACAATTCAAAATTTCAAGTGAATTGAAGAGCCATTATAATATTAATCTAGAAAATAGTCTACACTAATATCTATTTCTTATGGCTGGATTTGTGTTACATACTTATTCCGATGGATTCAACAATATTCATTCATGGTTAGCATTGAAATTGTGAAATTATAAAAATATTGATAGTAAGTATTTGGAACTGTGTCAATGCCGTAATGAATTTCAGCAGTGATTTGGATAAAATCTGAAGCACTGAAAACTGAATAATAACTGAATATTTATTATGTAGGAGCCGAGAATTGTTGACTTAAGAGGTAATGACAATCTGGAGGTTTTTTAGATGAATTTAAAAAAATATGTCGATGTTAATAAATACCAAATCGAGAGTCAAGAGAGGCGTTTGCAGTTGTTTCGTGAATGCATACCATATATTTACAAAAAAAAAGTTCTAAAGTGTCTTCAACTATATAAGTCAATCAGATATTTGAGAAGTCGTAATAACTCATTCCTTTTTTTATTTTTTTATGTCCGGAGACACCGTTACGCTTACATTTCACCTTGTTAATGTTTGAATAATTATCACCAAAATCACAAAGCTATTCACAATACTCTTGGAGGTATAACGTGTTGCCTGTCTATTGAATTGGTGACCTGGAAAAAACGCATCGTTTAATCAGTGCTGTCGTTTGTAGTACCTACATTCGTATTTTTTTTGTAATTTTAATTTTACACTAGTGTAGTACGCTAGTACAATTTGATGATGACGAAAATAACTCTAAATCAAATGAAAACCTCTGATTTTCAAAGCTGAGTAGCAAGCATCATTGCAAGCATCATTGCAACATTTTTTCGAAATGCAAACCAATGTTGAACCTTAAGAAAGTGAATATTGTTACGAGTTTGAACAAAAAAAAGTTAAGGTTTTTTTTCAATAACAATCCGAACAACTCAGGTTCAAAAGTGGGTCTCAAAAGAAGAATTAAACAGTGAACTTCACCATAGTCCTGACAACCACGATCAACCGATGATAATAATAATGAATACTGAATTCCATTCAGTAAATTATCATTATTCCAAATTAATTACAAATGGACATTTCAGAAAGTGGCAGTACCGCTTTCAATATCCAAGTAAGTATCACCTAACTCTAAGCTAGATCACTTTCGTGTACCTACGTATTCCTGAATACGTTATTGCAAAAAGAACTACCTTAACATCAAGAACGTACTTATTCACACCTCAAAACTCTAATGTTCATATAAACTGGCTTGTTGAAATTCATCTTATGAATAATTTTCAGTCCGCTGGAAAATCAGACATTAACGTCATCTTGAATGACAAGCCCAGTTTTGTTCTCGTTAGCACTTCGGATAATCTCTCAAAATTTGGTAATCAATTTATATGATCTCTTCAAAAAACACCTGAAAAAGCTGCAATTTATCTAGAAACCCTAGGTTAGGTTAGGTCCAAAGTGAGTGGGTCTAGTCGACCCTCCACCGCAACCCGCAAGAGATTATTGTAGCATACACTTATTCACGCTCGACCAAATAATCCCAGATTCTTGACGAAGCCGATTAGTTTTTATGGTGGTCCCCAGCGGGATATAGGAACCTTAGATAGTATTAGAATTTATTTCATTTCCAGATTCAAGAAATCACTCAAGATATGGATCCCAATGTTAGGTCTCTTGATGGTCAGCAATGTAAAAAAAATGTACTTTAAAAAACCCAACAATAACCCTGATTTTTTTCCTACGTTTAACGATTGGGAAATATCGGATCTTTGTGTTGGTAGGGAGTTGACCTCCCACCCATTTTCCAGTCTCCAGAAAATTCAATAAATTTTGTCAGGAGTAAAATGTTATATTTTAAAATTTGTTCCTTTTCTTCTTGAAGGATTCGAACTGATTTTCAATCATATTTCCATACCGGTTCATATTGTGGTAGTTCATATCTTTTCAAGGGTTTGTCTATCACTAGCCCTTGTTAAATTAGTAGAACCACTTCGAATTTTCATATTTACGTTGATGACAAATTTTAGGCTGATTTTGTACTTCATTTCAAATGTTTTCTCTTCATTCAACGTATCGTGGGGTTTGCTAGATTAATGTTAAGCTTGCAGGACCCAGCCACAGAAAAAACATTTTCTTTAATTAGACTCCATCACAATTTTTAGGCTCATATTGCCCCCTATCACCGATTTCAAGATACCCAATTCAAAATCCTTCACTTTTGTAAAATTTGAACGTGCAATAATTCAAAGCTCATTTTAGGCTCACTCATCACGTTATTGAACAATGTTTGAGCTTTGCCTGATTTAAATATTTGGGTAATTACCTCAGACATATGCGATGAAAGCCGGAAATACCTTTTCGAAAATATTCTACAACTATGGGTGAAAAAGAAATTCAGGCTCCTATGATTGCCTATCGCCGACTTTTGATGTATTGTTTTTTAAATGGGTCTGCTAGCGTTATCGTTAAGCTACATATGAGGCGAGAATTTCTTGGAATCATCTGATGTCTTCAATTATTGACCTCGATAATAAGTTTTTGGCTAAGATGACTGTATTAAAAATGTGTTCAAAATCTGTTTTTCCGTTAACCAGCTGTCGCACCCTCACGAACGACAACCCTCAGAAGTCGAAACTTGTACGAGCCAAGGATTAACGAGATCTTACCTTTTAACGTGTGATTCCTAGATCTAGGATATAATAAGTAAAATGAATGTTAAACGGTTAAAAAAATATTAATGATGTAGATAATGCACTGAAAATTAAAAAATAATTCAGAAAGTCCTAGGTAGCAGTCATCACACCACTCTCCTCAGCAATCTACGGTATTGATCAGATAAAAAAATTATAAAATCGTTGGGTATAGAGTAACCTGAGTAAATATGTAAATACTACGCCCAAGGATTCTATTATTTTTTTAACTTATCAATACCGTAGATTGCTGAGGAGAGGAGATTGAGAATTGTGAAACTTTTGGGAGGGAGTAGGAAATTTGTTGTCGAAAATGATTAACCTGGTCGAGATTCATGCCAGGGAGACCCGACCTGCAAGACTTTCCGCCGACCTGCAAAATGTATTTCCAATTTTTTGAGAATTGTGAAATTTTTGGGTGGGTGTTCGAAATTTTTCCTGTCAAAAATGAATAATCTGGTCGAGATTCATATCTGGGAGACCCAACCTGCAAGAATTTGCGTCCTCCTACAAGATTACGAGATCAATGTCCACTGAGAACATTTTGATGATCTGCAGACCTGCAAAAGAGTTATACCTCGAATATATAAAAACTCAGCCGGCTATTACAAATTCTGAACACAAAGTAACTACTCTAACTCAAATGAGTGTCAAATTGTTCATCACTGAATACTTTTATGGCTCTTTGATCTCTTGATTACAAAATGCTCAGCCAACTATCTCACTTCGTTAACCGCTAAAATATATTGAAAAGGGTGTTATTTAGTAAAGATTAGTTTTTAGGATAAAATAATTGGCTTACTACTCCTTCATCATTATTAAAAAAAATGTTAAAAAGAAAAAATCTTTCGGGTGTTACACTGGTCGGGCGTTGTCCACGAAGACCCAATACATTCGAAAAGGCGCGCCAGCATCATTGTCAATGACCACTACCCATACCGTGGATTGACCATTAGGTCCGAAAATATCGGACGACAAATATCGTCTTGCTCTGATGGCCGAGAAGAACTGCTTATTAGCTTATATGGGCCTGAGGGTGGGGAATGCATTGTTTCAATATATTCAAACTCTCCCCACAACGGATTCTCGTATATCTCCCGAAGCACTGGGAAGCACCGATGTCTCCTCAATACCATAAAAGAGCCGTAGCTGATAATGAAGCGCTCTTAAGGCCGCGTTACTTCTATACAAATGTTGGACATGCCGACAGCAAGTAGAAGAGGTTCTCATTGGGGCAGGTCCTGTTCCTTTTGTCGTGAACCTCTATACTCATCACGCGTGTTTTCAACACTAAGGTGTTGAGTTGTGATCACCTCGTTCAGTGTCGAAAACTAAACCGAGTTCATCAGCCGCTTGGGCTGATGAGTACGATGAATAATTAAAAATTTTCGAAATGTTAATAAAAATTTGAACGGCTACCCTCGACTTTTGAATTAAGTTCATATTTTTTTACCTGTCTTATCTGCTGTTTGACTTGAAACCATTCTAAGAGCATCTAAAGCTTGTTTCCCCACTTGTCCGGCACATCACAGCACGGCGCTGTCAATAGCCTAATGGTGACGGGTGGTAGCATCGCACATTTATCCAGCTACAACCAGCACACTGAAGGTGCTGTTTGTTCGATTTCAAGGAAATTTCAGTTGACAGCGGGCGGTGACAGAAACATGTCTATCACTAGCAATTCTGACGAAGAAGGCGTCATTATAGTGGCCGCATTATTGAATGGATAAGAATATAGTCACAAAAAAGAATGATGTGGGTCCATTCCATTAATCAAAAGAGGGAAAATCTGGGAGAGTTTCATCGTCTTTTCTATGACCTGAAAGAAGACGAGGAGAATTTTTTTCAGTATCTCCGAATGACTCCAGGCAAATGTTCAGAACTTCTGGATATTCCAGAGCCTGCCTTAACAAGCAACTCACTTTTTCCTCGTCCATTTTCATAGGTACCGTCTGACACCGTGCTATCAACTGATGGAAAGGCAAAACAGAGACAGAAACTTCCCAGGCTGGATAAGTTGATGCTGGCAAGTGCTGGCCGGCGACACGCTCACTTGGCCAGTCCGTCACAGCACGTACCGTTATTTGTCGGAAAGTATCGGAGAGCTGGAATCCTTTCCGGCGGCGGACGCTCTTGGCTGTCCCGTGCCGGGCTAGTGGACGGTTGTTCATTCATTTTCATGGTTTCAATACTATAAGTATTTTGACGAGACGGGCCGTGCTGTGCTGTACCGGACAAGTGGGCGACAAGCTTAATATGGTTATCAACATGCATAACTTTTGAGAGTCTCGGGCAATATTCAAATTTCATCTGTGCATCAAATGTTTTTATGGATAAAACTCTACATTTCCAGTTGAGTAGGCGTAAAATCTGAATTAGTTGACCCAACTGAATTATGTTTTGAAAATAAAAAAATTACCTTATCATACTGTTGATGAAAGTAGCTGGAATAGCAACAGCAAACCATTTTCCCAACTGCCGGATAAAATTTTTGGGCTCCTTTCTCACGATATATTTGACAATCGCACCTTCCAAATTAGCTACATAAATACTAAGGAATGTTCTCAAGAATAAGAACATAGTATGTGAACTAAGTAGAGCCATCTCCGTGCAGAACAAACCGGGTATCATTATCCTAACTAATTTAATAAATTGTAAAATAAATGCTAGATTCAGGTTCGGAATATTAGTTCTAAACCTTCCCTTCGGTTTCCTCTTCTTCATGATACCATTTTGTTGCAGTTTATTAGTGACTAGATTATTGTTCAGAGTGAGATTTTCTTTGTTTGTTTTGTGAATTAGCGAGTCGACAAATGGATAGCCGACTTTGTAGGCATAGGTGAAAAGAGTTGTCGCTATCAGAGCTCCAGATATAACAGTTCTGTTTGCATTGAATGTATGTTCTCCTTTCTGGAGTAATTTTGATATAACGTTGGTCATTTTGTGGCACTTCGTTTCTTATTAATTTTTTGTAATGTCAATATATCATTGTCTTTGGAGTTTACACGACTTTTCAATGTGATGTTTTGTTGGTTCCGTTTTAACATAAAACCACTATAGCTCGGAATTCTTGATCCATTTTTGGGGTGTCTGTAACAAAGAAAATTCATTAATTTCATCCACTGTAGTACCGAATGAATATTTGTTTAGAATTTTCTGATTGAGGAATTTGAAGTATAAAAATCAAAACAAACATATCAATGTTTTAATGATGTGAATGACTCAAAAGTCACTGTCCAAAATTAGGTATAAATATTACTCTCACTCTAATGAAATGGATGAAAACACTTTTGTCTATGTTCCGAAAGTTATTTTATTTTTACGACCGGTTTCATCCCATTATCAACTATAATAGTAACTAATACAGTTGAAATCTGAAAACGAGGTTTTATAAGGACCTTGTAGGTAAGCCGGAAGAAGAGGTAGTTAAATGAAAAAGGGTGCAACTATAAAATTTAACGCTGGAGATTATATTAAATCAAGTTGCTCGTTTAGGGGTAATATTTCGGGTTTTTAATTGATTTATTGATTTCCATAGCTTCCGACACATTCATTTTTTTCCTTTCATTACATGTGTCTAGGCTTCTGAGATTATCTTTACTTATCTTAAAATCATAAAGGCTTGTCGCACTAAGGTAGAAATGTTAGCCGGACAGAAGCAGAAGGCTGTCATTCCTGGCTCACTGCGCTTGCTCAGGGCACATGATTCTCGGACCCAATGATCACTTACCCCACGGTGCAGGGAGTAGTCGTTGGTTGATAATATGAACTAAAAAAAGTAAATGGGCAAGATTTAGTATGGCGTTCGGCATCGGAAGGTGCAGACTGCCATCTGTTCTTCCACCAAACCCAAAACAGACTACTACATGACAAATCAGAACAGACACAAAAAAATATTGATTACTTTTAAAAGCAGCTGAATTACAATAAATATATACATTGCTATCATTAGATTAATAAATCTCAGTTCAAATTGAATATAAAGATTAGTCAAAAAAATATAAATAAGTATTTTTTTACTATTTTTGATAATGCATTTATTTAGTAATCGATATATTCAGTTCATATTTACTTATTCGTAATAACCCAAAACAGACTACTAAATGACAAATCAGAACAAACACAAAAAATATTCATTACTTTAAAATACACTTACGTTACAAGGAATATAAACATTGCCATCAATGAATTAATAAATCTCAGTTCAAACTGAAGATGGAGATTAATCAAGGATAAATAAATATTTTTTCAAACATAGTAAATGCTGAATTAATAATTCTCAGATGGAAATGGAGATGAAGATTTGAAAAAATGAACAGAATTTCAAAAATAGAACTTACTATCTATCGCGATATCTGATGATACGCGTCCGGAAGGTCGATAACGAAAGTTCTGATAAGTGAAATTTGAAACCTCTGGCGTGAAACGAATCACCACCAAAACACTCACTCACCAGAACGAAAAGACAACATTTGTTGTTCTGGTGCGGGCAAAGGGTTATCAATAGATTGAAATAAGGCGCACACAACAGTAGGTTATGTACATGTGATGATAACTCTGTAGCGGATTTGAACCATTTATTTTTTGCATGTAAAAAGCATGTTCAAGAAACACAAAACCTACTGTCCACATTCCTCAATATCCAACTCCCGGTAAACATTACAAGCCTTCTAGCAATGGAAAACAAGTTGATCTGTGATGCACTGATTAGGATTAACGAGGTCTTACCTTTTAACGTGTGATTCCTAGATCTAGGATATAATAAGTAAAAAAATTTTGAACGGTTAAAAAAAATATTAATGATGTAGATAATGCACTGAAAATTAAAAAATAATTCAGAAAGTCCTAGGTAGCAGTCATCACACCACTCTCCTCAGCAATCTACGGTATTGATCAGATAAAAAAATTATAAAATCGTTGGGTGTAGAGTAACATGAGTAAACATGTGAATACTACGCCCAAGGATTCTATTATTTTTTTAACTTATCAATATCGTAGATTGCTGAGGAGAGGAGATTGAGAATTGTGAAACTTTTGGGAGGGAGTTGGAAATTTCTTGTCGAAAATGATTAACCCGGTCGAGATTCATGCCAGGGAGACCCGACCTGCAAGACTTTCCGCCGACCTGCAAAATGCATCTGTGATGCACTGATTAGGTTTGTGATAAAAAGTAAAATAATTATATGACTGACTACATATATCCAACACTCTGTGGCAAAAGGATAATTCCAATTTTTCTTTCATGTAATTCAATGTTTATATGAAAGTAGCTGTTTCAGGAAGGCTTTTTCTTCCAGTTGGTGTCTGAAAGTTACTTCTTTGCATGATCTACACATCTATGTATAGAGTTACTACTTTTAAAATTGATTGCTTCCTTCCTTTCTTTGTATCAAGATGGAGTAGTAGAAAGTACATATTGTATTCTTGTATCAAGTTGATCTCGAGGCAAACTTTTATATTTTATGAATTGTGTAATGTAATGAAATGATGGGTTCGATTCAATCAAGAATTCATTTATTTTTTTTTGAGATGGTAAATAAAATCTTGTACCTGAAAATGTTTTTTACCATTGATTTATTTTTCATTTTTCAGTTATTGCTGGACATGTTCTTTGGTCTGGTAATTTAATTTAATCCATCATTGTTGTATGGTCGGTCCCTACAACATTCGTTCGAGTTTCACCAAACAATTCATAACCTTTGCCGAGTTATGGTTCTTTCAAGTTGGTATGGTGGCCATCTTGAACCCTTTCATTTCGAACTCGTATCAAGACAGTCCGCAATACTGGATTTAGAGTGACGTCATGTTATTTTTCTCCATCATGGGGGTGCATACAAAATTAGTCCGTTATCTTGGACGGATCGTCATTTGAATGTAGAATGTATTATTTAGGAATGTATTATTTAGGTAAATGAATGGAAACAAATTGCACTTACATGGAACACTGTCATCCTCACTGGTAGACATCGATGTTTCGCCATAAGACAGTTGCCTTAGGGCTCTTCAGTACCACATTGGATAACATTATAATGTTATCCAATTTGGTACTGAAGTAGAACTCCTGTGAATGATATCTGAATTTTATTCCATAACGAATGTTTGGAATACAAACTGAGTAGAGAAAATTATCTTCTGTATAATTCAGTGTTCATGTAAAAGTATTTGTTTCGAAAGAATTTTTTCTTTCGTGTAATTCAATGTTTATATGAAAGTACCTGTTTCAGGAGGGCTTTCTTCCAGTTTGTGTCTGAAAGTTGCTTCTTTGCATGATCTACACATCCATGTATAGAGTTACTTATTTTCAAATTGAATTTTATTTCGAACTCGTATCAAGACAGTCCGCAATACTGGATTTGGAGTGACGTCATGTTATTTTTCTCCATCATGGGGGTGCATACAAAATTAGTCTGTTATCTTCGGCGGATCGCCATTTGAATGTAGGATGTATTACTTAGGTGACCTTCAAACTGAATATATATATGCAAAATTTTAGCTCAATCCGTTGAGAATAACTGCATCAAGTAAAATAAAATCTATAATTTGAAAACCGACGAGTTTTTGAAATTAATTTAGCAAATTCATTGAGCAAACATTTTTCAGACTACAATTATATTTTAATTCAGAGAAAGAAGAACGTTTTTATTCACTATGTTGACTGAAATGAACTGATGATGGTATACCGAAGACTGAAATGAATAATCACACGTATTCGGTGGGAGAATTAGGTTTTAACAGTAATAGCTAAGAAAACTGATTTGTATCAATGTTCTATCAAAATTTTTGATTGATAACCTTCCAACATCTGAAAAAATAAAAGCTAAATCGATAGAAAATCTGCTTTTATTTTTTCAGATTGTGGAAGGGTATGAATCCAGAACAAAATTCGTTCAAAAATGATCAAAGAACCATTGAGATTTGAATATAATTGATGAAATTACTGTAGTTATCTAGAAATAGTAACTTTCCAGTCCAAAGAGATAATGTAGTCAGGCGAATAGGTTAAGTTTCATTTCACCACATATGTACTACCAAATGGATATCCATATGCTTTTCACCAGTATTAGGAATCATACTTTGAAAGTTAAGAGCTCGTTAGTCCTTAGCACGCACAGGTTTCGACTTTTGAGAGTTGTCGTTCGTAGGAAGGCGACAGCTAAGGGAAAAAAAGATTTTCAACTCAACAAGCATATTTTTGTGTGTTGTTATGTGAAAATTGGTTGAAATATGATGATGACCCATTCAAGAAATGATTTAAAAAATGTAGGCACAATGTTTTCCAATACATTCAGGTGATGTCATCACCTGAAGACGATTGTGGATACTAACAATCGAAACGTCGTGAATTAACTCGGCTTGGAATCTCCTAACTTTTTAATTTCATTTTATTTATATTCTTTTTTAGTTATTTCAGGGATTTCAAATCATTTTATATATTATCAGACAATGGAAGTCGGAACTAATGAAATTCAACATATTTCTTACTAATATGTCCAACCTTCGAAGTTATTTTATAGAGGGAAATCAGCTTGTTTTGATATCTGGTCAACTTTCCGTGGTGTTGAAGGAAGAATCTCCACAATTGCCGCTGTAAATTTGGTGGGGATGTATAATACCGTAAAAAACACTTTTGTTAAAATAATCATTATCAAATTATTTATTTCTACTCCAACTTTGAGCAACGAATTTAATCAAACTTCTAATGCTAACGATTTGCATATATTTCGTTGAATTCGTCTCGATATTCTTGAAAAATAGATTTGAGGTAGATTAAGGCAACACATATATATTTTTCACCTTGATTCGCTCAAGAGAATTCAAAATATAACCAGTTTCTCTATAATATCCTTAGTTTCAATGAACCTTTCAAAGAGATTAGAGTTAAAATCATGGACGTCTGTTACAGTTTTGAATCTTCTCTTTTAGCTAAAGCTAAAGTGGACATAAAATTGAACTGATTGGTAGAAAAGAGGAGTGTACAATTTTTCATACTTGAATAGATTTGCCAAATTGTAAATAGGAATACTTTATTTCACGTCAATATACAAATTGTCGTAATAATTCTGTCATTATGGTAACAGATGTCTTTCAAAAAAAAATTTACACGGGGTCCTTAACATGCCGCCTATATAGCCTGACAGGTATTTAATACCTTCAACAAAGAACAAATGTCTGTGGAAACAAAAATTGCATAGTTTTGACATTACCGTTAACTTGAACAAGTGCTCATATTTTCAGTAAAGTAAAAAAGTTGATTTTCCTAAATTTGATTCCTTCAACTCCAAAAATTTCGAATCTGTGACTCGCAAAACCTGTTTGAATATTTAAACATGTTATGGATTGCTCAAAATGTTTTGGAAAAAATAAATTTTTTGACACCAACCATCCCTGAAGTGCCTTCCGAAGCACAGGCTATTGTTTATTGTTACCCCTCAGTGGATCCCAAAATATATTTGCACTCAACAAAATATCAACATCAGAACGTTTATAAAATGTAGTCAGCTTATTGAATATTTTGTGAAATATTTACTTCATTGATATTGCATGTTTGTTGTACATGGTAACTGTTTTGTTTTTTGGGTGAAATCAAATTATTTCAGATTTAAAATTGCTATTGCAAGACTTGAAATTAATAACTTGAAGTCTGATAACTTATATCCAATAAAGATCGATCTACCCCTTTAATGACGATATTCACCCTTTGCCTTTCCAATCGTAATTTATTATGAAAGAACTTTGAGAACTACTATCGAGAAGAGCTCTTACCTTGTGAAACTGACCTCGTTAGTCATTCACTTGAACGATAGCGGTAGGTAATGAAATTTCACTATCCACAGTATTATTCGAATAAGACTTGTATTAGTGACATAACTACCACCGGAAGACTATTCTCAGGGTTTTTAAAACCAATTATATTTCAATTTCGCTCTAATTAGAATAAAACAAATACTCTTTTTAACGAGGCAAATACTGTACTAAGTATAATGTTTATATGAATAAACTGTCGAAATCTATCGCGGATAGCCATGAACGATAGTACAGAAAAATACAGCAGGTAACTTAACAACTTAACAGGTGCTAACAATAAAAATTATCGAAGCGTCTCTGTATGTCCACCTTCTGTTTCTATGCATCTATTTGTTCGCTCATCAAATTCGTTCAATGTAGATCGCAACACATTAGTGGGAATATTTTTGCAATGAACTCGTATTGAAGTTTCAAGCTCATCAACATTATCTCTGAAGAGTTTTTCTTTTAAGTATCCCCATAAGACATAATCTAGAGGTGTATGGTCTGGAGAACGAGGAGGCCATCGAGGATCGGTATTTCGTCCTAACCATTTATTACGAAATGTCCTATTCAGCCATTGAGAAACATTTCTAGTAGAATGGGCAGGATATCCGTCATGTTGGAACCATAAC